GTATATTTTTAACATCTTTTAATACCTGTATAAGCCGCTGCGTGGTTGCCATTTCATCGCTCAATTATCTTCAACCTGTAGACTAACAATATCAAGTGCTTTCGCATACAACCTGTAATTTGGTTAACAATGTTTATCCGTTGACATTTGGAAAGCCTTTCTTCTGTGTATTAACGTGAAGCAGGCGGAATATTGCATGTATTAAGTGGTGTGTGATGGGGGAAGCACTTTAACGAAGCTGAGAAATGTCAGAGGCATATTTTGTTAATCGGGGTTTATATTGTACCACATGGCTCCTGTTTTATGCACGTGTGGAGGAATTAACCATGAAATTATGTCTGTCAGTGTGTTCCATTTCAGTGGTTATCTAAAATAAATCATTGCAGTTAAAAAAAAAATCAGAACAAAATGAATTTCAAAGTACATGCATTTTCCTACAATCAGTTACTCGTCTTATGAAAAATCTTATGTTCTTCACAATGAAAAGCTTTTGACACCAACCGTGGAAATTCGTGTTCTATAAAGATATAAGTGGTTCTAAAAGTTAATCAAAATAGCTTTCTAAATGTGACACTTGTAAGAAATTAGCATATAAGAAAAAAAAATTAAAGGTACGTCTAGTTCAGAATATTTTCAAATCAAAATCATTTCAAATTGTTTGATTTACATTTTTGACCTAGTTCTTTTTTCCCTGTTTAATTTGTTTATTAGCTGCTGATGAATTGGATTTAGAAAAGAATATTAATTAAAGAAGGTTCCAAGATAGTCAGATTCCTTACTACAAGACATCCGATAAGAGCAAGAAATAATTTGATCAAAAATGCGTTTCATCTCAAATTTAATTATTGCATGTTTGTAAGTGTATCCTTTGTGACCCGACTTTGGAAAATACTTTCTACTATTCTACAAAAATAGAATTTTGTCTCGGGAAATCCACAGAAAGTTGCCCCAAGTCTGACTCCCAATTAGTCTCGTTACAAAGAAAGAACGAGTTTTTCAGAAGCCTGTTAATCATGAAAATCGGTATATACGGAAGCAAGGCACGTGTATATAAAAAATAACTTCTTAGGAAAAGAACGGTCGTACGAACGTAATCCGATCCATTCCACGATGGAAGCAGTTTAATCCAATTACTCGTGTAGGAAAGCCTCGGCTGAGTATTTTACAATTATCGCGATCGAATTACCCGCCGGAACGTTACAAATATAGAATTTTGTCTCTTTTTGCCATCTCATAAGAATTCTGTGCAAGTTCTTTCTCTTGGATCTTTGTTGATAGAGGGGGCCTTAGGGGCCACTTAAGTTCTTGTAGAACATGGTAGCTTTGACGTCATAATGGGAATATGATTGTTACCGAGTCAATATTTGGAGAGTTATGCAAAATTGTTTATCGATGACCCATAACAAATACGATGTAAATTGTATGGGTATTTTAATTGGCCAACACCATCTGTTTTTACTATTTTCAATAGACCGAAGATATTCTGATTGTGTGCTCTAAATTTTTGCCGTTCAACTACCTGGAGGTCTTTAAGTTAAATTTATATGGGGAACTTAATGCTATTAATAATAAATTGTTATTATTACATTTAAATCTGTGTTGTTGTCGTAGTATTTTTTTTTATTTCTGGTCAGAATCAGCTTTGTTTCCAAGAACAGGATTGAAATCAATGTTTAGGTGCTTCTTGAACAGAATCTAATGCAAAGTCTTACAAAAAAGCTTAAGTTATATCAAATAAATTCGATTCACTTTATTGACAATTACCCTTTCGGCATACAGTCATGAACTTAAATAACATAAATACAAATTAAAAAAAACATTAAAAAAAACAAAATAATGCAGAGTAAATTCACATGTTTTAGGATTGACAATCTTTCTGATTGAATTATTACTAGAATAGGTATTTACATGAAATAAATCACCATGCTTGCATCTATATCAAGTAGAAATTAAATACATGTAGAAATAAGATTAATATACTGTATATATATTTAAGCATGCACATGGTCATGAGAACCAAAAAGTAAGGATCCCTTACTATGCTGTTCTGACAAAACATTTTATTTAAAAAATGGACATCTTTTATTCAACTGTCACTTTTAATGATAAAAAAACTTAATTTCATGAAACCAAGGAATATTGCATTTGAGGAAACCATCGACGAAATTATGCCACTATAGCAAGGCAAACAAGTGGGAGAAATACTAAAATTCTATATTTCAGCAAATCAAGTAGCAAAAAAAAAAAAGAGAAAACCTTACGATTAAAGGAGACATTGTATGGGAGATTTGTCAAGCAGAGTTGTTTTATGGAGTGGACATTTGTCAGTACCGCTTATTAGGGAAAATATTAAGATTTTACATTAAACGTTAACCATAACTGTAATAAGGACGCTTCTCTTTTATATAGAAAGAAATGATAATCATGATTGTAATTGTATTTTCATTTTGAAATAAATGACATGTACATAGAGTTCATTACATTCATTTATAGTACTGCATTCAACGGTTCACTATTTCTTTTCGTGTTTTTCGCGTAGGATTCAATGTACATTCAAGAAAGTAAAGAAGTACAAAAAAAAGTACAGAAGTACAAAAAAACAACAACAAACAAACAAACAAACAAAAAAACAAACATATTTATTTAAAGTCGGGCACATCAAATATAATACATGTATAGATGGTCGATACAATGACGTTGCATTTGTCATCAGTGACAACCTCTCACTGAATCAAATTTTTCATACTTATTGTTAGTCCATTATTTATACACTGAATTATCGACGGATTATTCCGTTATTTTCCGATCATGACAAGGAGCATACTACTGCAGTGACCAGTCGGCAGGTTGGCAAGAGATGTTCACCTCGTCATGACACCTGATCCCACTTCTGATGTTTTGGTGGTCCATGTTTGCTCTGGTCCCTATTTGCATTGTTCAAATGGTCTTTTAGCTTGTTAGTTTTAGTTAGTTATAATTGTTAGTTTTCTCCATATTTCATTTTTTTTTTCTCAGATTAATTTTAAAGACTCGGGAAGTAAAACAATAAGTATTTATTACAGCATTCATTGGAGGATTTATTGATTTGTTGTGTTGTTTAAATCCCATTAACACACATAGAAGTAATCCGTAAGATTTGCCATATCGAGTCACAAGTATGCATGAAAGAACATTCTGACATATCAAATATCGTAAGTCAAGATTAACCCTTTTCAGATAACCTGCCTTGTAAACTTTTTTTGGCCTAGTTTGCAAACAATTACAATCTAAGAGGCTGTTGCGTAATTGTGTAACATCTGCTGTGGATATAAACATGCAATTTCCACTTCTGTCATGTTTGCCAAGAACATTTGAAGATAAAAATAAACTTCAATTTCGAATTCAACTCAGATGTGACCATTTCATTTTATGTTGATTATTTCCTTGAAACTTAAAGTAACATACAGACAATGAAGTTTGAAATCTATTTTTTATTATGTTTCTTTTATTTTATCTATTTTCTTTTATGTATACTCTCCTGGACAGGGTACAATTAACATATGAATTACTAGTAAATGTTTATTTGCTGCAAACTCCATAATTTCGATTCAAAATTTTGTACAGAAAATCGAAAATTCTTCCATGTTTGTTAAATCATTATTTTTATCATTTTTCAAAAATTAAGAAACCTGACACAGGTGACATAAAATTCTTAGATTATTAATAAATGCATACATATAAATGCAGTTAGTCCAAACTGTACATACTGCATATATAGATCGGACATTAGATATATAGTGGCATTGATTTCTTGCCAATATACATTATTGTAATTATAACCAGTTCTCATAGCACCCATGAGAGGCTGCTAGATTCATTAACAGTTTGAAATATATATGATGAGAGTACATTTATGTTGCCTCAAAGGTGTATGCAGAGATAGGTTCTGTTACAATTTTCGCTTGAGTTTTTGTTTAGTAAGAAAATATAGACAAAAACTATTCTTAGCAAATGTAAATTGCTAGCCAAGAAATAGTAAAATATAGGTAAAGATCTGACCTCGCGGCTCATGGATTGATATCCCCCTGCTAGTGTTGTACACTATACCTGTAGCACCGTATGTCGTCACACCTGAATACGATAAATATCAGTGTCGAGGACGTGTTCATTCAGACTGTTTTTTTCCTGATGAATGATTAATTTCGATACATTTCTCCCGAGAGCTTTCTTGCGATATTGGTGCAGGTTAATAGAACTTCGAATTCGCCTTCGTTTTGGTTAATAAATCGATGAGTTGTGCGAACTTGTTTCTGAAACTTGTTTAATTATGGACAAGTTGCATTGAAAACAAAAGGCAAGATTAAAATATAAGTATGATCTGTATGTATTTCTGAAGGTTTTTTTAATTTATTTTTTATTGCTTTAAATTTTACTTAAGGTGGTAGTCTTTCCAATCGTTCCATCTCTAAGTAATCACAAGAATGTTATATGCACAAGCAAAACCATAGACCATAAAAATAAAAAAAGTAACATTTGTAGTACTTATAATTAAGCCTTTTCAGTGTTAATTCAGCAGACCTAACAAAGAAGGTCGCCTTTACGATGAATTTCTCTTGTACGAGATAGCAAAGCCATACATTATTCTAGCAGTACATTTTGTTGGCAGAGGTGGATGCCAAGGCAAATTCTTTTACATTTTTATTGCTGTTTATCTCAGAATCGGAGTGTACTTACACATTTCCCTTTATCAATCTGATTTAACATTCATCATACACTTTGTTTGATGGAATTAAACGCAGACCCTTTTGTTTGTGCCTGGCGAACTCGCTTCATGGAATCAATCTGTTCTTTGTAAAAGTACATAATGTTTTCCACAGATTGTTTTCGCGAAATTTGGCTAGCGGAACTTATAAGCATTTTCTCTTTTCAATCGAAAAATGGCTATGTATAACCAAACTTCTAATGACAATAAATGACAAATAATGATAATACAATAAAAATGTTTTTTCTGTTGTTTTCAGTTATGGTGATATGGTGCCAAAGACAATTGCCGGAAAAATAGTTGGTGGTTTGTGTTCCTTGAGCGGTGTTTTAGTCATTGCACTTCCTGTTCCTGTCATAGTGTCCAACTTCAGCAGAATTTATCACCAAAACCAAAGAGCTGACAAACGAAAGGCACAAAAGGTATGAATTTCCAAAGAACAAATGAATACAGTTTTCAAGTGAGGGGATAAAAATTACTTAGTAACAAAAGACAAAGGTGTGTCTGAAATTATTTAAAATTAGATTAATACATATTTCTGCTATAGGATTGGTGTACAAAGCACTTTCTTTAAAATCAATAGACTACATTCAGTGTCAATATTCCGAACTATATGTTTTTCTCAACAATAATATTGAATTGTTGATATGTACTTATTAGTTTTGAAGAACGTAATGTTGAGCTGATATTATACTGAAAAATTATCTAAACGGATTTTTTAGTAAAAAGTTTGGATTAAATCATGTAATGCACCACAATTCTGTTATGTTTCTATATAAAGAAAATGCTGTTAGTTATGCTTTTAATAAGCAGATAACTTTCGCGATAATAATGAAAATTGCTAGGTTGCTTGTATATAAATTAAGCTCTGGGCGAGTATTTCTATTTTTAAAATGAAATAATTAAATAAATATGATGGTGCTCTGTAATTGTATGCGAATCAATAATTTAATTTTTACCAGATACTCGAAACAGCAATAATTAGCACGAAAACTAGTGGGTCAATATGGCAATATCGTGTCTCTGACTCGATACACATGTAAGACTTATCCGAGTAAGAGAATGAATATTTCATGGTCTTGAAAGACACAGCAGCAAGGTTAACTTAGCCAGTCCAATACTAATACCTGATGCTTTTTTAAAAAACCTTATTAGAAAAATCATTCACTTGTTACTTCACAGCTTTTCTCTCTAACCATATAATTTTTTTCGGCAGGCATGGTCACCACTGTTGTTAAATTTTGTCTCTTATTACAAGTAGACACCAGAAACACACATCTAAAAAGGGGAGTTCTATGTGTTTTAGTTTCCATAACAGCTATAAATGTTTTTAAAAGTGAGGTTTTCAGCTACCTTGAATCTTTACTGAAATTATATAAATTAAGACGAAGAAAACCAAACAAAATGTTCTCATAAAACATTATACATTTTTACCACTTTTTTACATCGACAACAGTAAAAAAACTGATTTATTTTTAAACAAAGGTAATATTCTTTCACAATTAATGTAAAAGATTAGGGTGTCAAAGTAAGTAAAATCTAATTTCTGGCCCTTTACAAGATACATATAGGTAGTTACTAAACCTTCTTGACTGAGATAAAATCTACCAATTGCTTCCGAAATATGTAGGTAAGATCCGTTTTACAATGTTTTTAATATCACAAAATGCCATGCTATGAGTTTTGATCGCTCAACTATGAGGTCCCAGTGCAATACATGGATATAACGAACAGTATTCAAGCTCAAAAGTCCATAAAACAATACAAAATAGGACCTGAGCAAACACGGACCTCCAAAACATCAGAGGTGGGATCAGGTGCAACGGAGGTGTGAGCAACCCCTTCCAACCGGTCACACCTGTCGTGTGCTCCTTTTCATGATCGGGAAATAACGGAAAATCTACAACACTGCCTTAAAAAGCGACATGCAGAGGCAAAGAGAGATAAAAGAAAATGTAATTGTGTAATAAACAGGAAATTCTATTTTTTTGGTAGTATTTTAGAATATTTTTCATTCGTAAGACAACATTGAATTGCTATTATTATTGCCACCCATACGTCGCACTCAAAAAATATTCGAAGACTCCTTTCCCTATCGTAAAATAAATTCCATATCCAACAACAAAACATTCAAACCCTCTATTTATGATCTAAAGAAACTAGGAAGAAAATGTCTATAGGTAAGTGGTAACTACGGTAACTGTAGGAATACATTTTTAATGCTAAAGAATGCCCAGTATTCAAATATGATAAGTACATGTATAACGTACATTATCGAACTCAATCAATAACTCACAAAAATAAATAGAATAATACGAAATACGAAATATTTCACCTTAAGTTAAAAGTTTATTCATTTTTTTCTAAAAAAAATTAGTTATGGTTGTCATGGCCGCAAATATGTGCTAGATTCTGTTTATTTTTGCTCTCGTAGTGGAAAGCATGGAAAATTCAAAACTGGCAAATTAACATTGTCAGAACTTTGTTACACGGATACAAATGTACATATAGCTTAGAAAAAAATTAGGATTAATTGCAACATTGTAGTGTAACTATAGAAACAAAGTTCCACTGTATGGTTTAAAGTTATAAGGTTTGTTGAAAAAATAACAGTTTCTAACTTTATATAGTTACCAAGCATAATTTTTGTTTTGGATTTTGTTTTAACTTTATAACAATAAATATTATACCCTAGGTAACCTAAATGGTAGCTTTTTGCATTCTGTCAGAGATTGGTGGTGAAAATTGAAAATCATTTCCCGATAATAACAAAGAGCACACGGCGGGTGCGGCTGGTCCAAAGGGGTTGCTCAATCCTCCATGGCACCTGATTACATCTCTGTATTTTAGTGGTTCATGTTTGCTCTGCTCCTATTTTGTATTGTTTTATGGACTTTTGATTTTGAATACTATTCGCTTTCTCCATTTTTCATTAGTTCTTTGAAAATATCAGTTCTGAAAATTTTGAGACAATGCTCCATTTTCCAAAACAAAGTTGAATTACATTTCTACGCCGGAATATATGACACGTTATTTTTTCTTTCATTTCATTATATTTTCAACCTATTATGGAATTTTTTGTTTGTTTTGTAGTAACAATACATTAATGACATCAAGCCTTTATTCTTGAATGTCGTCCTTGACATTATATTAAAAATGTATTTTTTTTCCTAAAAGCTTGGATATGATACCATTATCGTTTACTGATTTTATCTGGATTAAAATAAGTACATGGCTATCTAGTCGTATACTTATTTCAGTTTTCAAATCAAAATCAGGAAAGGATGCATTGGCTTCAATAAAACACATATACGTTTAAATTTTCTTTTACAAATCCCATTTAACAAATCTAAGAACAGTTTTGACCTCAAGTTGGAAATAAAATGTTTGGAAACAGATGCTAGAAAATGAAAATCAAGCTCTGAAGTACATAGTTAATAGTTTCTTGTTTAATAATCTACTCATTTAGTGTTCCAATGAAAAGCATAAATGAAAATACTCTAGAAGTATTCTTTCTACTAGATAGATCAACAGGAAAGGATGCATTGGTTTTAATAACACACATATATGGCAACCAGTTTCTTTGTACTTGGAGTTAATGGTATCTTGTCATTGTAGAGAATGGGAAAATTTTAAGACTATGAGCCATAGTTCTTTTTTATGAAAGATTTTAATTCTTGACGACTTTTAATTGTCAAGAAGTAAATACTACATAATTTATCATCATAACATTATAAAGGAACTACGAGGGAAGCCTTTGACAAAGAAGTTGGTGAAACAGAATATCACCAGTCTCGTATAAAGCCATCGTTTGGCATGTTCTATGGTTTATATATGGTCATTAAGTTGAATGCTGACCGATATTTCATACAAATTGTTAGGTTATTATTTAAACACTGAGTTGTCTACGAGTTTTTCTGTTACTGTAAACGTATTACATTTTGCTGTGTATTCTTTTTAGCGTTTTTTGGCGGAAATAAATTTCCGCTAATTCAAGTACAATGCTAAATGTCTTTCATTTATATACATAATAGAAATCATTAGGAACTGCGCTAATTCAAATCTACGCTAATGTGTTCAAAAGTCAATTTCCGCCAAATAGTGTACACGCTAAATATAATATATTTACAGTATTTCCCAATCACGATAAGAAGCGCACAGCAGGTTTGACGGATTTACACTTATTCCTCATGGACAATTGATACCACTTTTTAAAAATGAAAGTCCATGTTTGTCCACGTCTGATTTGTATTGTTTAAAAGAATTTTTGAGCTTGATAAATGTTCGTTTTCATCATTTTCATATGTTGGATTATATCATGATATTGATTAGCATAATCTAAAACATAACAATCACAACAATTAGACATCATACCATGAAACAAACTACTAGTATTGTAATTATATGCAACAGTTCCTTAATATTCTAAATCTAATTTTTTTTAGTTTATGATTTGCAATGATTTTCCCTTTGCTGTGTGTCAGCAATTGATCAATTTGAATTCAAAAGTGCATTTCAGCCGATCTGTCTAGTAGAAAAAATACTTCCAGAGTAATTTAAATCCTGCTTTTCAGAAGGACACCGAATGAGTAGATCATAAAACAAGAAAATAGTAACTAGGTACTTAAGAGCTTGACTTTCATTTTCAAGCATTTTATTTCATTTGATGTCAAAGCTGTTCTTAGATTTGTTAAATGGGCTTTGTAAAAGAGAATTCAAGCGTTCCCTTTATGTAAATATTTTCCCTCAACAGATATCTGTAAAGAGATCAGAAAAAATATTCTAAGTGGAAAAGGGAAAAATAACTCTTATTTAATCACAATTTTCAAGTTAATTGCATTCTAATACGGTACCTTGACAGTTGTTGAAACTATCATTCGTTGATATGATTAATTATTCTGAATAGACTTAATTTTTGGGCAAAAGTTCTCGAAGTTTATTTTATAAAGATATATGAGTTTCTGATTTACAATGATTTTGTAGCAAATGAAGATCGTGTTTTCAAACAATCTGTCAAAAAATTTCCTAGCGTAAGATTTGAGCCCTTTTATGAGCAGACATATTTTAAGCTCACCTGAGCCGAAGGCTCAAGTGAGCTTTTGTGATCAAAATTTGTCCGTTGTCTGTCGTTGTTGTTGTCGTTGTTGTCGTTGTCGTTGTCGTTGTCGTCGTAAACTTTTCACATTTTCATCTTCTTCTCAAGAACCACTGGGCCAATTTCAACCAAACTTGGTACAAAGTATCCTTGGGTGAAGGGGATTCAAGTTTGTTCAAATGAAGGGCCATGCCCTTTTCTAAGGGGAGATAATTATGAATTTGTTAAAAATTAATGGCAATTTTAAAAAAAATCTTCTTCTCCAGAACCGCTGGGCCAGGAAAGATGAAACTCATGTGAAAGCATCCTCAGGTAGTGTAGATTCAAATTTGTTCAAATGATGACCCCCGGGGCAAGGGTGGGGCCAAAATGGCCGACCCAAGTTTTACATAGGAATGTATAGGAAAAATCTTTAAAAATCTTCTTCTCAAGAACCACTGGACCAGGAAAGATGAAACTCATGTGGAATCATCCTCAGGTAGTGTAGATTCAAATTTGTTCAAATCATGACCCCCGGGGCAAGGCTGGGGCTAAAATGGCCGACCAAAGTTTTACATAGGCATATATTGGAAAAATCTTTAAAAATCTCCTTCTCAAGAACCACTGGGCCAGGAAAGATGAAACTCATGTGATATCATCCTCAGGTAGTGCAGATTCAAATTTGTTCAAATGATGACCCCCGGGACAAGGGTGGGGCCAAAATGGCCGACCCAAGTTTTACATTATATATCGGAAAATTCTTTAAAAATCTTCTTCTCCAGAACCACTGGGCCAGGAAAGATGAAACTCTTGTGGAATCATCCTCAGGTAGTGTAGATTCAAATTTGTTCAAATGATGACCCCCGGGGCAAGGGTGGGGCCAAATGGCCGACCCAAGTTTTACATAGGAATATATAGGAAAAATCTTTAAAAATCTTTTTCTCCAGAACCACTGGGCCAGGAAAGATAAAACTCATGTGGAATCAGCTTCAGGTAGTGTAGATTCAAATTTGTTCAAATGATGACCCCCGGGGCAAGGATGGAGCCAAAATGGCCTACCCAAGTTTTACATAGGAATATATGAGAAAAATCTTTAAAAATCTTCTTCTCAAGAACCACTAGGCCAGGAAAGATGAAACTCATGTGGAATCATCCTCAGGTAATGTAGATTCAAGTTTGTTCAAATCATGACCCCCGGGGCAAAGGTGGGGCCAAAATGGCTGACCCAAGTTTTACATTATATATAGGAAAATTCTTTAAAAATCTTCTTCTCCAGAACCACTGGGCCAGGAAAGATGAAACTCTTGTGGAATCATCCTCAGGTAGAGTAGATTCAAGTTTGTTCAAATGATGACCCCCGGGGCAAGGGTGGGGCCAAAATGGCCTACCCAAGTTTTACATAGGAATATATAGGAAAAATCTTTAAAAATCTTTTTCTCCAGAACCACTGTTCCAGGAAAGATGAAACTCGTGTGGAATCATCCTCAGGTAGTGTAGATTCAAGTTTGTTCAAATGATGACCCCCGGGGCAAGGGTGGGGCAAAAATGGCCGACCCAAGTTTTACATAGGAATATATGAGAAAAATCTTTAAAAATCTTTTTCTCCAGAACCACTGGGCCAGGAAAGATGAAACTCATGTGGAATCATCATCAGGTAGTGTAGATTCAAATTTGTTCAAATGATGACCCCCGGGGCTAGGGTGGGGCCAAAATAGCCGACCCAAGTTTTACACAGGGATATATAAGGAAACCTTTTAAAATCTTCTTTTCAAGTACTTCAAAGCTATGATTAGTGATATTTATATTGAATCATCCTCAGGTAGTGTAGATTCTAGTTTGTTCAAATGATGAACGCCAATTCAAGCCCGATGTGCTCAGGTGAGCGCTGTGGCCCCTGTGCCTCTTGTTATATTCTTATGAAGAAAGAGGTTTTTCAAAATAAAAACTTTAACATGAAAGATTGCTTTGGCCTTTCAGTTTTAAATATATCTACAACGTTGTATCAGTATACCAACAAGCAATGCTCATTTTCACTCCGTTGATTCGACGTATCTATTGAATTTGAAACAATTTAAGACACTCAAGAGTCAGATACTGCATGTAAATCTGTTTCTAAACAAAAGACAATAATTACAACGTAACAACAAAAGTTTGTGATAAACGTTATTTCTTCAACTTTTCTATCGTCCACTTCTCTAATTTAAGTAGCAATATACCGATATCATATGAAAAATGAGTTTATGTCTCCCATTCTTTTTATTCACAAGCCAATGCTCTAAACAAGGCACGCTACTGCTTAATATGAAAAATGATACAAGGATATCAACAGTTCAATTGAGTGTCATCATTTCAGAAATTCTAAGAATGATACAACGACTTTGTAAATGATAATACAATGAAATAATAATAATAATAATATTATATCCCGGTGAGCTTGAGATGAAAGATACCACAGTCTGACACATCTGTTTCATATCTGGATGTTTTATATATTTTATACATATTTTGAAAAAGATAATAATGGGAATCTAAAAACCAAGCGCTATGATAAACGTGATGACTTAAACTTTACAATTGTCAACTTCCCTTACATTGCAGCAATATACCTTCACTATCTGCATACGGAGTTTATATATCTCAGTTGATTCGATACTCAAGAGCATGCTCTACATACAAAAAAATTCTAATACGAGGTATATTATAAACAAACAAGTTGATGAAACAAGAATATCTACAGTCTCGTTTAAAGTCATCATTTCGTAAGTTCTTTGGTTGATACAATGACCTTGTAGGCAAATAAAATTCTTCATTGAGTCAAATGCTGACTGACGATTTTCATACAGTACCAATTGCTAGTCCATTATTTATATCCTAAATTCACGACAGATCTTCCGTTATTTCCCGATCATGACAAGGAGCACACGGCGGGTGTAACCCGTCGACAGAGGATGCTCACTCCTCCATGGCACATGATCCCACCTCTGATGTATGGAGGTCCGTGTTTTGTATTGTTTTATGGACTTTTGATCTTAAATACTGTTCGTTATCTCCATATGTTTCATTGTTTAAGGCGGATTCTGATTGACTTTTAATATTTTTGCCTTTTTTCGATCTTATGAACATATAGGAATTTTGTTCGCCCGATTATGATAAGAAGCACAGTGGGGCTGTGACTGGTCAAAAGCTAGGGATGCTCATTCCTCCATTGCATCTGATTCCAGCTCTATTACTATATAGAAGTCAATTTCTGCTCGCTCCCTATGTGTATTGTTCCAGTGGACGTTTGTACCTGATGATTGCAGTTCGTTATTTTCATATTTCACAACAAAGATAGAATGCTTTACCATGTGATTTAATTCAATGTTTGAAGATAAGGCTAATTTCTACGGTACTTAATTTTTTTTTAAAATTAATAAAGAAATAATTAATACAGTATAATTGGTAAATACAGAGTAAATATATAATTATAATTATGCTATTCAGATGCAATTTGTCTAGCTACAATTTCAGAATTACACACACCTACATGAATGTTAATGATATTTTATTTTATTTACTAAATTCTGAAACTCCAAATAGAAAAGGGTTCGAATAGAAACTTTCCCTTCCGTGAGTTTTACTACGGGGTACATAAAGCCTCAAAGAGAAAAGAACAACAGTGAAAACTCATCCATTAGTGAGGCTTGATTAATATTGAATTACATGAATTTCCATTTAACTTTTCAAATATCAAAGCTGGAAATATTTTATTATTGTGTACAATTGTCGTGATGAGCAACGAGTGATCTTTAGGTTAGTTTGATCTCTACGTAAGAAAGGGATTTTTTGCTTTTCCTTTTTTTTCTTACATAATTTTATGAATGTACATACAGCTCTGAGTGTTTAAGCCAGTGATGTTACAGAAAAGCTTCTACCCAACAAAGGTCGTATCTTACAGATTTATGAAGCAAAGGAAGTCTTTAACGGAATGTGTTTTAAATCAAAGACGTTGCAAAAGCTCGCAGAGAGAAAATTAGAAAAGCACTTTGCATAATTACTCAGATTGTTTTATTTTTAATGTTTTGCAGTACTTGATGTTTGAACTCTTTGCTCTTTTCTCTTCCATTATCAGTTAAAACATATTACAAATAGTGCTTTAACACTTTGGAGGTTTTTTTCTAACCTCAAGCATCTCCTATGAGAATTTAATTTGAAGAAATCCTCTTTTATTTGAAAAGCATCTTATCAAGAATTTTTTTTTTTAATTTAGATGTTGAACCTCATGTATATATGTGTATTCAGAATTTCATTCATAGGTACCAAGATCTAAGGAGGAACTGAGTAAAAATTATCAGGAAAACAATTTACTTTGGTTAGCACTGTAGAAATTGATTAGAAGTATTTAAAAAAGTATTTAAAGAAAATATGGAAATTGTATCACTACAGTTAAAGATTTAAATAAAAGGTCCCCAATATGGAAATTGTATCACTACACTTAAAAATTTAAATAAAAGGTCAACATTTTCTGATCAAGTATTCTCTATCATAATGGTTCCCTCTAAACTTTTGAGCTGTTTTCCCTAAAATCTCGACTTGTTTAAACTAATCTTTTCGATATTTCATAAACTTTAGTGTTGCAAAGATTTTATGTTGTCTAATTTTTCTAAGTGAAGTGTCACATACATAACCACAGAAGTAGGTAAAAAAAGAAGGGCATTGTATTTTTAATGTACTGGAAGCTGTTATGTATATTATTCTGAAGATAGCAAGGAAGAAAATCATAAGAATGTGATGGGTCTTTTTTATAAACTACATGTACATGCAAATGATCTTTTGCTATGTGCTTTAACGGATATGTTGGATATTTTTAAATTTGTTCCATGTTGTGATGATTATGAAAAATTTTTTTTTCTACATTTGAAATTACAGAAAGCGAGAATAGCACGTATTCGAATGGCCAAAAACGCCAGTGGCGCCGCCTTTATCAGTAGTAAGAAGCGGGCGGAAGAGGCAATGCGGGCGAGGGAAAGTGGTCTAGAGGTGGAGGATCTAAAAAACCAAGATACGTTAGAGATGCAACACCACCATCTGCTCAGCTGCTTAGAAAAGACCACAGTACGTATTGCAAAGAATGAAAAAAAAAAATAGGATAGGGAAGTTTCTTCTCATCATTAGCTCGTTCATTGTTTTTTCGTATCTTGAAGCAATTGAATATGTCGTAAATTCCTTTGCTAGAAATGTCATATAATGGATATCAAAATTGAATCTATATGTATTACATATAATTATAGACCTTATCGAAATGCCTTTTTTTTTATATATATAAACTGTTTTTGTATTATAAGCAAGATTGTTGCCTTTTATCTCTTTTTAATGCATATACGATTATTCAGTACAAGACTGTTAGAGACTAAGAAATAAGCAAAGAAATGTTTCCAAATCAAACAGTTTTAATGTCTAAAGACATTACGTAGATTGCATTACTTTTTAAACAGAAAGCTGCATCATATATACTAACACATCTTTTTTTTTTTTGTTTTAAAAAGAGTGGCATAAAGAATATGATCAATTCGTATTATAACCTCTCATCGCATTTCTTTCATCTGCTTTTGAAAATATTAGGAAATACTCGGACTTCATTGAGCAAAACAAGGTTTTTGGTTGATATTTGAGTGCTTGTAGTGAATTGCATGTGGGCATTATATTATTATAACAGCAATTTTGCTTGCTAGATTGACTTTCCATCACAATCTTTCCATATATACATATAGCTTTGAGCTTGGAATTCTTCGATTGATACATCCTTGTCATTTGAATTGCCACTATAGATTACATCAGAAAACCCACTTAGGAGATCAAATTTGAAATTTATTATTCAGTATTTCTAATAGAAATTCAAAATCCTTCATCAGTTGTAATAATCTAACATCTCTTTCTGCACTGAAGAAAGCCAAGCTTCTGCTCCTAAACATACTAATGTAAAAAAAATCCAATTAGAAGAAAGTGCCAAGTTTAATATGTGTTCTCTCTAAACAATAAAACAGCACTCCTTTTTTCCGACCACCCCGATTCAAATCAATTGTAATGTAAATTATATGAGAGGTTCAAAAAGGCGTGGTTTTGCAGGACCGAGAATTTGTGGAATTGGATATGGCGTTTAATGGGGCTCCAAACAAACCCTCAGAGACGCCCCCTCCTTCTCCAGACCCCTCTCTGACGTCACTAGACAGGCGGAAAGATTCGGGGTGCTGCGGTCGTAGGTTTTCGCCACATCGAAGATTTCTCGTAAAGGTAAGCCAAGGCCCCGAGAAAATCCGAGATGACTTTCCAACGCCCAGTCATTGTAGCAACTAGATAACACTCGATAACCACCAATTAAAATTGTTGTTTTCCTAAAATCCAAAGTTATATTGAAGTGTTTTTAGACAATTGTCTTCGAATGCATTATCTTCGTTTCGAAAGGAAATCAAGTTTTTACTAAACCGACATGAAAAATATTGCGTCACAAGTGACGTTATTTAAAATTTATGGGGATGAAACATAAACTTAAGAACACATGTACCAAAACCTGGCAACTTTCCAAGTTTTATTGGTTAGCGTGTCGTTGTCAGTTGCTACGTTCTATATATTCAAATCCCTTCTTCCCATTTGTTGTAATACAAATATAAATGTCCATTTAAATAATCACCTCCCTCGTTAAGTTGATAATATATCTGTACACAATAGGAAGGAGTTTTAGTGCATTTGTAATCCATATTTCTGCTTATGATGCTTCATGTAAGCTTTGGCTCATGCAATATTCAAATCACTAACTATGTTTAGGCATAGCATGATCAAAACATTGTGATGTAAACAACAAGAAGTCTCTGTCGAGACTGAAGCTCTACTGGTTTGTACTTATAGCAAAGGAAGAGAAAAGTACTTAAGCAGTTGGAAATTGAAACTTTTCAACAGCAATAAATAGAATGATGATCCTTGATTAAGTCTCTTTATGTTCTTAGTGCAGTCTACTTTCATACCACATTTATATTATAATCAGACTAAAATTGTATTTGGAGTAGCATTTTGAAAGATTTTCACAGAAATTTCTATTTTTAGTAACCACGGCAACACCGTTCATCGAAATCAAAAACCGATACACAGAATTATGTATCTTAGTGTAGTCTACTTGTGTGCCAAGTTATATTGAAATCAGACTAAAACTGTAGGAGGAGTAGCATTTTGAAAGAATTTCACAGAAATTTCTATTTTTAGTTACCACGGCAACACCGTTCATCGAAATCAAAAACCGATAAACAGAATTATGTATCTTAGTGTAGTCTACTTGTGTGCCAAGTTATATTGAAATCAGACTAAAACTGTTGAAGGAGTAGCATTTTAAAAGAATTTCACAGAAATTTCTATTTTTAGTAACCACGGAACACCGTTCATCGAAATCAAAAACTGATACACAGAATTATGTATCTTAGTGTAGTCTACTTGTGTGCCAAGTTATATTGAAAGCAGACTAAAACTGTAGGAGGAGTAGCATTTTGAAAGAATTTCACAGAAATTTCTATTTTTAGTAACCACGGCAACACCGTTCATCGAAATCAAAAACCGATACACAGAATTATGTATCTTAGTGTAGTCTACTTGTGTGCCAAGTTATATTGAAATCAGACTAAAACTGTAGGAGGAGTAGCATTTTGAAAGAATTTCACAGAAATTTCTATTTTTAGTAACCACGGCAACACCGTTCATCGAAATCAAAAACCGATACACAGAATTATGTATCTTAGTGTAGTCTACTTGTGTGCCAAATTATACTGAAATCAGACTAAAACTGTAGGAGGAGTAGCATTTTGAAAGAATTTCACAGAAATTTCTATTTTTAGTAACCACGGCAACACCGTTCATCGAAATCAAAAACCGATACACAGAATTATGTATCTTAGTGTAGTCTACTTGTGTGCCAAGTTATACTGAAATCAGACCAAAACTGTAGGAGGAGTAGCATTTTGAAAAATTGTTTACAGACAGACAGACAGACGGACAGACAGACAGACAGACGGACGGACGACGGACGCATTACTATCGCATAAGCTCTTCTGGTCTCTGACCAGTAGAGCTAAAAACAGGAAGGTGATCTGGATTACGTTTAAATTCTTCGGGTTGAAAATATTATCTTATGTTAAAAAAAAAATACAGTACAACATGGTTATAGCGAATACGCTTAAAATGAATCACACGATTTTCATTTTTTGTGGTCTTATTGAAATAATAACAGCTATACATGTATTTGGTGTAAGTACATGTAATTGTGTCACAATACAATATAATTTTTTTTTAAATCAAAAAATGTTTTTTCTTAAAAAACAAACGAACAAAAAAACACCCAAACAAACGAACAAAAAACAAAACAAAACAAAAACAAAGAATGTTATAAAATATTTGATATTTTTTGATGGCAGTCCAATAGACAATAAGTTTTAATTCTTCCGAAGAAAAAAAAAAACAGCTCTCTTCTACTATATTCGTCACGTCTGACAAGCATCGCTTGGAGTTCATCTTCAGTTGACCTAAAAATTAGCATTTTTTTGCAAGATCCAATCAGATGACCGCTATCAATAGATAAAAGAATCCTTTTTCATTGCTTCCACGTTGAAGAGTTAGAGTTACCTTTTATGAAAGATCACATACAGATGGACCTCAAGCAATGCCTGCTAGACCCTGAGACGAGAGGAAAAATGTTGGGTACTTGTTAATCACACTGGCAATAGTTGTGATACGGACCAAACAAATTAAATGAGAAAGTATGGATTTGATACAGCTATTTTAATAATTTTGGAGGAATATCTGGCTATTAAATTCAGTGTGTTTTTATTGTCATGCCATGAACTAGAGAGACTTTCGGTGCGCTGAAATGAATAACATGCTTGGCCTCTAATGCTTAAGTATGCTGTATATGATTTGTGACAACCTAACACTATAAAAGAAAAAAAAACAAACAAATGACATATTCCAAGAAATTTTTTTATTACATTTAGATAAAATGAGTAAATTTTGTTTTAAAATGGGCCTCTACTGTGATTTTTTATTTACAGCGACGAAACACCGATACGGATCAGGATGACCTAAACGATATTCAAATTCGACTTCCAACTATAAACCGATCATCTAGATCAAACTTAAACGCTGTCAGCGGCGGTACTACAACACCTAACAGCAAATCAAACAACCTGACTGTCACAACCGCTATCGTTACATTACCCACACCTAGTACAACTCCTGAGACCGAGTCTCTCCTGGCGCAAACTGACCAGGCTCCACCTCCTTACCAACAGACTTTATCACAGAGTCAACAAACTTCACAAAACACAGGAGATGTGGTGAAAATCTCTTCATTGTGATAAAAGATCGTGCGTTAATTCGATCTTAACGTCTCACCAATAATTTATTAACAAATCTTACCGATGGACATCGCAAACTTGCGTTTGATAGGCAATAATGTTGAGAGTTATATGCTTTTTGGAAAATGTTATGAGAATTCGTACCTCAAGGAAAAGTTTGAAGAGTGCATTTGATGAAAGAGGAGCTTAAATCAAAATAATTGATGCGATGACAGAAAAACAAAATCAAACACGAGAAACGATGTTACATAGTTGCTACGAATTCTGCCCAGTTTATTCCATGTTTCATTGAGTATCGTGCACTGACCACGGCTGTTTGCGGAATGTTTAAATCAGTGTGATTTTTTCACTTCTTGACCACGTGATTTTTTTCCTGCGGAAGAATATTTATGACAATTTGTCACGTGATACTTTCCAGAGCGATGATTGATAACCGTTGTTTTTTTCTAATATATGTCTTTAGAAAATATTGCTCACGTATGTGTAGAATTTACATTTTTGTATTTTCATCAGATCTCATGCCATTCCATGTGATACTCTCCCATACAAAGCGAGATAACTCCATTTTGAACTGGATGACCGTATGACTACTGCACAAGACCTGCTATGCATTGCAAACGAATTCAACATGTTATATATACATATATAGACTCAACATTCCTAGAAAAATAGTAATTTAATTGTTGACTATGGATTGGTCTTTTGCAGTTAACCCAGCTTAAACTATTCATTCATATCAGAGCATACGACATTGGGTATTAAAATTTATTCAAGCAAACTCTTTTACTTGAAGGTTGAAGCGTGTAAAACTCGAAGAACAGGTCATATTAATTAATTAACTGCATTTTTTTTTTTGAATCATATTCTTAACATGCCAGCCCCTTATCAAAGAATTTGGATTCGCAGTATCTCCACAAACTGAAATATAATGTTAAAATATATTTTGCCAAATACAGCCCTTCTCTTCCATGATATTAAAAAAATTAGGGATAAGAACTAACACTATGAAAATGGCATCCCTGTATGTGAAAATATTTAGAAAAAAGATTTGCACCACGACCAATATGTCTCACCTAGATGAAAATGGATTGAAGTGTTGCATAAATATGCTAAGCGCCGCAACCTTTTCAAACCTCACTTAAATTATCGCTCATATTCACCACCGTTTCATCTACTTGTATATAGACATTATCATATGGAATCTTAAGTCTTTTCTTTTTGGGGGGTACAATAAAAAATAGAAATCTAGTGATAAATAAATAGATCAATCTCATGATATCAACTTCAGTCTTCAATAAGCATGGTGAACTTGGGAATGGGGTCTACAAATTGAGATAATCAGACAACAAGAGTTATGTCGATGGCACAATTGTATAAAAAAAAGTTCTATCAAGTCAATTGAACCATTTTCCCCCGATTCTTGCAATCCTTTTGTTCTTTATCAAACAAGTATTCACTGTTGCTGAAACCATTAATGTTATTGGAATTCTTTTTCATTGCGTGAATGTTATTTTCATACATTTTGAACTTCTTTGTGTAAATCATACTTCAACAGTATATGTCACTAAACAGAAAGACCCACTTCGCGGATGAATACATTCAGTCTGTTTTTTTCTGAATGCGAACTAATTGTTCCTTGTGTGCGACCGAATGGAAGTGAGTAGCCCACTGTGAAGCCATGTTTCTCTTGTTTTGAGGAGCGGATCGACGTGGCGTTGAGTGATTCAAATTTGTTATACTCTGCTTAGAAGGATAAATGACCTACCTTTGACCCGTGTGTGAATTGTTCCGTGACTCGGGTTATAGTGTACGTTAGAGCGGGTTTACCCGTTGTTACTGTTTTAATACTACAATAAATTCCCATTACAATCTTAATACAGTATTTCTTATATCTTTTATATATATATATATATATATACATGTAGAGTTATAAAATGTGTCCGTCGTCTCATTTTTTGGGGTCATTAGACACCTCCAGATTAGTGTGATGGGCTTCTCTGAATGGAGATGTCGCTGTTTATAGATAATACCCACTTTTTACTTTAACTGTAAGTATTACCTCAGCTTGAAATATTAATTTGATTGTACTAAGGATACCAAGGAAGCAATAGTGTTAGATCAATAAACAATGCAGACTAGTAATGATTTCAATTAATTTTAATTATTTTTAAGGTTATTTTTTTTTTTATTTATTTGCTATTCTTATTTTCAAAATTGAGGAATGGTTTGTATCGGATTTGACGTTCGAGTTCTTATGAAAATATTGTCCGATCATTGTACTCAGAAACCCTATCAGAATTTCTTAATATGGTACTTATCTTCAAATCAAGTCCAGTTTGCTCATTTGATAATTCGAAACTTGTCAGAACTTGTAATAGTTTATTTCAATATATAAGACAAAAATAAAGCTTAATAAAAACAATCATGCATATGGCAAAAAAGAGATATTTTAATACTCGTTATATTGTCAGCTTATGAATAGTAAACATTTACAGTCGAAATAGGGATGATATAATTACAAGTAGAGATGTACATACGCTTTGAAAGTCTGAGGTCTTTCAGAAAACAATTTATTACACAAAATCCATGTATATTCGATGAACAGAAAAAAGTTATTTCTGCATAATATTTTTAATGAAGAAATCATTAACCTTTTTATCAAATAACTCAGCTATTCTTGTATGCACGTTCCAGCATAGTTCTCGTTTTCCTGTAACTTTATCTGGCTTCATGACGAGAACAGATCGAGATTTTGTGGTCTTAAAGCCAGGTTCCCTGATCCGAAGATTCCCAATAATCTGATCTTTCTTGTTGGTCTTCACTTTGACGACAGAAATAAATCGATGTAAAAACTGGCCTGAAAAAAATAGCAAAAAGCTTAAAAGGATGCAACAATTAATTTGCTCAACACATGATACAACATAAAATTTCAATTCAGAATCTTTTTTATGGAGACACCAAATAATATTATTAAACTTACCAAGAACGCCGTCCGACTTTCGAGAAAGACCAGCCTCGTTTTCAATGTATAAATTCAAATAATCAACAGACATGTTAACGGAGGCAATTGTTCTTTTAATGGAGATAGTAACATTGTTCCCAAAGTCTGCGTGGATCACTCTGTTTCCCTTAATGGTCAAAATTTTGATTGAAATGTCATTGAATTGATAAGGTTTGTCGTCTGCCCAAAATAGTTCTGCTCCATCATATATAATTTTGGTTGGTGTAATCTTCATGACATGGTCTTTATATAAGATAACAACTTCCCCCATGAACGTTTTCATGCGTCCATGTTTATCAAACGTGAATGATGGAATAATTCCAGCGTTAATAGTTAAACCTGTGAAAAAAAGGCGGAGTGTGTTTAAATAAGGTAAGGGTGTACTATAAGTGTTATCATTTTCAGAGCTAAATAAACGTACATTTAAAAAAAAACCTTTCACCATATGTGTTTTGTAGTTCTAATTAATCGTTCGAAATTTTAAACATCTTCTCTAGGATTTAAGATCATATTTGTTTTGCTGAATGTTTTCTCTTTTACCAGAGACTATCCAGTATTACCGGTATACAAGGGTTTAACAAAAAGTAATGTCACATCTCCTGTAAAATCTTCAATAATTCAATGTTTTCAACAAAGTTTAACATAGTAATACATACATTTTTGTAATGCCTTTGAACTGCTTTCGATTACATAAAATAAAGATAAACATTACGTAAAGTGCTGGCAATATCCGCATTGCAAGAACGTTTACAGCCGTCTTACTGACGTTTTACTCTTTGGCACTCATCCGCGTATCTTCTAATCTATCAAGTCCTTAAATACTTTCATTGTCACTTTGTTATTAAGCTTTTTTATTCAGTTGTACCATTATTAATTATTTGAACTTTCTCTAAACGTCATTTCTAACTTCTTCCGCACTCAGTGTGAATCTTATGTAGTATCCAATCCATATAGTGTCAAATGTAATATATTGAGATAATGAACATTGCTCAAAAGTCCTTTAAACAATTATACAAAATTGAATCAGAGCAAACACTGACCTCGTGATCGGAAAATATCGTGTTCAACTCATTGTGTAAATAATGGCATAACAATCAGTATGAAAAAGTCGGTCAGCATTTGACTCAATGATAATTTGTATTTCCTGACGTGGTCATTGACTCATTGTATGGACAACAGAACTTGCAAAATGATGACTCTAAATGAAACTGCTGATATTTTTGTTTCTGCAATTTGTCAGTAATGTACCTCATTCAGAAAGTGTCCATATGTGGAACATGCCCTCGTGTATCGAATCAACTGAGAGATATAAATCCCGTATGCAGATGATGAAGGAATATTGCTGCATAAATATAGGAAGTGGACGTTTGAAAAGTTAAATTTCTTGCATAGATCACGAAGCGTAACCATTAACGTCATGTAAATTTCTAGTAAAAGATCTAAATATGAACAGACGTGTCAGACTCTTTCGCATCTTTAAAGCTCACCGGTATATATCGTATCGACATTAGAAATATTAGAAATAACTATTGTTAATTGACAATACGTCGTCGAAAAATCTAAATGTCATTTTGAAGGCCTCAACAAGTATTTTCTTCTTTTCACGTATGATAGTCAGGACAAATCTGCTTCATATGAATACAAAAATAGGTCTGCTAATAACAGGGCGCAATCAGTACACATGGGAATTCCAATAGATTGACGGAAGACATGGTTTCCAAAAACCACATAGATATTGTCTATCAGAAACTCAAGCATCTTTGTAATATCAGCAGAGAAAGACTTCTTTATGATCGACGTCGGAATATTCTTTCCATGCGGCGAAAGACTTGACCCATAGTCATGTTTATCTTGATATTTCATAAATTATTGCATATATCTGAAAGACATTCTAAGACAAAAGTCAAACTAAATAGGAAAATTTTTAAATATACAAGGTTTTGTTGAAATTTATTGATTTTATTTTAGAGTGTAAAAACAGTTGTGACGTTATTTTTTGATCGACTCTCGTCTTCTTTTTCAAAGAACGTGAAAGAACACAAGATAATAAGGAATATTTAATGGTTGATATCATTGACATCTGCTTTTTCCATAAAAATGGAACTCATAAATTTTACTTACCTTGGCATTGGTCATTTGCCAAATTATTTTGTTGAAAAACATTCTGATTGTACACACATGTACTCTGAAGTTGATATCAAATAGATGCTTGAGTTTCTAATTGACAATATCTATGTGCTTTTTGGAGACCAGGTCTTCCAACAATCTGTTGGAATTACCATGGGTACCAATAGTGCCCCGTTATAAGCAGAAATATTTTTGTATTTAAATGAAGCAGAATATGTCCAAAATCTTGTACGTGAAAAGAAAACACTTTCTGTGGCCTTCAACTCGACATTTGGATATATCGACGACGCACTGTCAATTAACAATGTTAATTTCCATTCTTATGTCGATATGATATATCCCAGTCAGCTTGAGATAGAGATACCACCGAGTCTAACACATCTGTTTCATATTTAGATATTTTACTTGAAAAAGACGTTAATGGTAATGTTACAACCAAGCTCTATATAAACGTAATGACTAACTTACAATCGTCAGGTTCTATTGTCGATACAATGACCTTGTCAGCAAATACATGTACAATTTATCATTGAGTCAAATGCTGACTGCCGTTTATAATTGTTAGTCCATTAGATATAAACTGAATTGACGACGGATTTTCCCGTTATTTCCCGATCATGACAAAGAACACGCGGTGGGGACCAGTGGGCAGAGGATGCTCACATCTCCATGGCACAAGATCGCACCTCTGATGTTTTGGAGATCCGTGTTTGTTCTGCTTATATTTTGTATTCTTATATGAACTTTTGAATACACTTCTTTATCTCCATATGTTTCATTGATCTTTTAAAAGGTAATAGTGGGATTTAGTGATTGTTTTAACAAACCTGCTTCTGGATCAGTTAACAAACGAAGAACATCTCCTGACCTGGCTGGCATATCAAAACATAATGGATGTTCTAATTTCTTTATTCTGATCATAAAATGGGGGTCTCCTCCACCTGTGCGATAAAACAAAACACTGAAACATGTTTTAAATTTCTTAAGTAATTTTTCAAATTTCTAATATTTTTATACGTATATATATGAGAAATAATATTCTATGAATAAACTGCAATTTTTTGTAAATTAAATTCGAAAAAATAAACCCATTGTCAATTTTCTTCCACATGGTCAAGTTACACCCGTTCTCCCATTTTATCAAGTTTTTTTTTTATTTTCTATTGAGAAACAGAGTTCAAATACACCCCTACTTACCCCCTCCTCCGTACGAGCCACCACCGCCACCGCCGCCGCCGCCGCCACCACCACGGCTGTAAGCTGGTTTGCTGCCACTTGGTCCACTTGGACGGGATTTCGAAGATTTCGAAGATAATACTGTAAAACGAATTCACATTGTTTTTAGAGTTGTCGATATTACAGTGTAACTAACAAAGAGGGAAACATTTGCTTAAATCTATAGTAAATGTGCCTTTAAGTTGTTTTTTAAACCTCCGATTCGTGTCCGTTAAATTAAATAAAAAGGGACGTTAAACTTATGACTAGCAAAAATATTTTGGTACTTTAAATTCCGACACTGCGAAATGAGAGACATAAAAAATATTACCGGTAATAACGATAATAACGGTGTTCATCTACATGTAATACAACTGAACAATTAACAACTGATGATACATACAATCGTCATCTTCTCCCTTGCTGAGATCCCCAACGTCTCTCTTGTCCGGCTTCGTGACCACCATCGAGGTCAGGGGAGTAACAAACTTATACTAAAAGACGTAAATATATAGGAAACTTAAAATTTGCATAAACTTTCAGATGACATTTTATTTAATAAATTGTAATTTTGCCCAAAGAATGTCATTAATGTATTGCTATACGTTATATGTAACAAGTTTTTCTCACAAAGAAATTGAAATACCTTACTTGACAAGTGTGCAAGATACCAAAGGGTATTGGTACCTGCACGTATATATTCCTTTTGATAATCTTTTAAATAGCTAATATTTCAATGTATTGTGTTCTTATTTTTAAAGACATTTTCAAAAATAAATAAGAATCAAAAGAGAATAATAATTGTGATATTGTTTTGAAATGTTACGAGTTATACAAAAATGATAAATGAAGAACGTGTCATCAAACCTTAATCAATCTTTCTCTAGGGAGTTTTGGGGTAAATATTCTAATGTCACACTTTTCATAACTGTACTTTACAAAACGAAATGATACAAAACGTCTATTGTTCAATACTTTTTTCCAGTTTCTGTTTTACAAATTGAATGGTACCTTTAGTGAGAGTTCTAACGCTGTCTTTTTCATTTCCTCTTTAGCAGTTGGATCAGTCTCACCAATGGACTTCTCTAACAGTTGTTTGATGGTTAAGTAAGCCCAAATTTTCTCTGTTATTTTTGCATAGTCCCCTGGTTTGGTAAGCTGGGGAAAAGGGTTTGCGTTTACGTCCGCAGAGAGAGCCAGTTCTACAGACCCTTTGGACCCCAGACCTTCGACCGATAAGTCAAAAAGTCTAACAGAGTTGTCCTCTAATTTCCCAGCAACCACTATTTCAGAGCCTGTGAAATACGTGGGAAAAGTTGCTGTTGTGAGATTCTGTACAGTCGAGGCATTGTTGAGATATTTAAAGGAAACATCTTTCAAAATGGCTGCCGAGATTTCATCGTAAAATCCTTTGATCTGTAGAGTAGCATCTGAGTCCTCGTATATTTTACGACTGACACCATTGTTTTGAATGGCCACCTTCTTAACGAATTCATAGTCTGCTCCACGCCCAAACGCTAAACTGTATATAGGAAAATTTTGTTCAGAGTTGGCATTTCGAACATTGGTTAGAATGCTGTTGATATTGGTGACACCGGAACTTGGCTGTCCGTCAGTAAGAAAGAAGATAACCTGTGACCGCTGTTTTGTATTTTCTGCTCTTTTAAAGAAGTTGATACCTTCCAATAGTCCACTGTTAATATTTGTACCTTAATAATAATGATGATACTATTATAAAAATATCAAAAAAATCACAAAAATACAAAAAAAACAAGATGTGTTTGTGAAACACTATGCGTCCGGGGCAACAAAGTTTTAAAAAAAAGAAGCTATTTTTAGCATACTGGTCATAGTCAAGGTCATTAGGTCATTGACCTTGGTGCGATATAAAAAAAAAACATAATTAGTGGAGTATGCATACCAAATATTAAGTCTCTATCTCTTATGGTTCAAGAGTTATGGCGAATGTACGAAAAAGCTATCTTTACTATATAGGTCACAGTCAAGGTCACTAGGTCATTAACCATGGTAGCATTCAAAAGATTTTAATTAGTGGAGTATGCATACTAAATCTAAGTCTCTATCTTTCATGGTTTAAAAGTTATGGCGAAGGTTAAAGTTTGCAGACAAAAAGCTATTTTCAGCATAAAGGTCACAATCAAGTTCCCATTATGTAAAACTTGGTGTCATTGAAAGACATTTTGTTCATTTTAAGATTTTATCATGTTAAAGATTGCAGACAAACACACAGACAGGACAAAACACGTGCTTACTCGGTGTTTATAAAAACCGGTTGCAATTTCATTGGCTATTATACAAATGAAATAAAATGAAACAAAATGAAATATTAAATACTGATCAATACAGAGGAGAATGGACCAAGTATCAAGTATATATTTTGACTGTATTTGAATCAAAGACAAGTTGACTACTTTCCAGTGGATATCTTGTCTACCTATCATTTAAATTTTAATTTATTGATTAAGTGTACTTGGTCTATTAAACGGCAATCAATAGTTAATAAGTTATTCCATATTCCCTATTCAATAACCTTGTAACTCCTGATTGTCCTATAAAACAGTGTCTTTGGTCTTTTTCATTTTACCTCCTATTGTATTGATGCCATTCACATATTTCTTTGCAGCATCCACTGACTTCTTGTTCGCAAATACTGGTGAATCTTTGTAAAAATAAACGCCATCGCTGAACTTTAATATGTTAAAACGGTCACCATCGTGTAGATCGTTAAGCATAGCAAGCACGGCTTGTTTCATCTGCCTCATTTTAGTTCCACCCATAGAGCCACTGACGTCAAGTATCATAATAACATCTTTGGGAATTTCCTCCATTTCAGAGGGAGCAAAGAAATGAACAAAGTACCCATTTACCACCTGTAAAGTTAAAAAAAATATTTATGAAATTCAAAACCTTAATTCATGTTTTTGTTCTTTACAGTACTTAATAATACATCTATGGAATAGCGATACAAGAGACTTTTTTATGGAAAAAAAATTTATATAATTATATAGGAATATATAAACTGCTACAACGTTATCAAACTAAGTACATAAAAACTGTTTATTGAGAAAAATGGCTATTCTGAACGTTTGCTTTTCAAAATATACGAATCAAAGTCAAATGTCAGACAATATTGTCCCCGATCATACCAGAACATCCCCCGCGTCAGATTTTCGGTCAATATCGTATTCAACAACGAAAAGTCCAGAGATTCCCTGGTTAGATTTTTGTCTTTGATCCGCCTCTGTGGGACTGTACATGATTCTTGCCGATTGCTTGGTGGGTCTCTCAATCACGGACAGAGAGTTCTGACCTGGAATTAAATTATACAGGAAAATTGTGAAACATTCCAGTTTAATTTTACAAGGTAGACTGTATTCGTAAGAAACTAAGGAAATTACTTTCCTCAGTCCACAGACAAACATTAAGAGTGTTTCCAAATGATTAAATTTAATTAGAGCAGAACTTTATTGTCTTGTTGATGTCTACAATCTGATCAACATTGTATCATTACTTATACTTGTTTTACACTGCCACTGAATAGTTTAGGAAGTACACCAAAAATCGAAATATTATATGTTATGGGGAAAATAATATTTTAAATTTATTTTCATTAACTGTGTGAATTAAATTTCCATCCCATTTCACATTAAAAACTCACTTGTTTTCATTTGCAAAAATTAAATAAAAAAGCTTTAAAACCCTTTATTGATATTCTACACTTATTTGACGATTTTATGATAGGTTTTCATTGTCACAAGTTCGTTCGGATGACTATGGAATGTACGAAATGCCGGTTTTAAACTAGGTATTTGAAATATTATATCAAAATTTAATATAAATTAGTTTCATACAATAGTTGTTGCAAAATGAAAATAAATTTAACAGCACGACACGAAATAAAATTTCATGATTTTTGTTTGTTTACACCATAAATTAAAATATCATATAATGTCGATACCAAACAACGTATAATATTCATCAAAGTCAGTTTGGGTTTGTTTACTGTATTCATTAATTAATCCAAATTCAAATCGAAATTACTTTTAATTGTCTCAGAATGTTGATTGTAGCTTTACGCCTTAAAATTTGCTAGATTTGCCATTTCATATGAATATATAAACTGTATGATAAGGTGTTTTTAAATATTTTTTTCCTTTAAAACATTTTTATACACATTGCATGTCAACAAGAGGCTTAAACTACAGATTATTGCTTTATATATACGAATGCATTAAAATGATATTGACCATAATTACAAATTGCTACCGTTATTTTGATAGGCAATAGAGAATCTTATTAACCCCCTTTGTTAGATAACTCATATAAACTATCCCATTTAAAGTTAGAACTTTGCATTCTCTTGTCGGTACACTGGCCTCGTCTTATCAAAGATATCATTAAGTCGGAGAACGGTTCGTGTTTTTCATACCCATTGTTGTTTTTTTTCATACACATTGCTGGGCTATTTTTCATACCCATTGTTAGGCTATTTTTATACCCATTGTTGGGCTATTTTTCATACCCATTGTTGGGCTATTTTTCATACCCAATGTTGTTTTTTTTTCATACCCATTGTTGGGCTATTTTTCATACCCATTGTTGTTTTTTTTTCATACCCATTGTTGGGCTATTTTTCATACCCATTGTTAGGCTATTTTTATACCCATTGTTGGGCTATTTTTCATACCCATTGTTGGGCTATTTTTCATACCCAATGTTGTTTTATTTTCATACCCATTGTTGGGCTATTTTTCATACCCAATGTTATTTATTTTCATACCCATTGCTAGTCTATTTTTCATACCCATTGTTGGGCTATTTTTCATACCCATTGTTGGGCTATTTTTCATACCCATTGTTAGGCTATTTTTCATACCCATTGTTAGGCTATTTTTTATACCCATTGTTGGGCTATTTTTCATACCCATTGTTAGGCTATTTTTCATACCCATTGTTAGGCTATTTTTCATACCCATTGTTAGGCTATTTTTCATACCCATTGTTAGGCTATTTTTCATACCCATTGTTAGGCTATTTTTCATACCCATTGTTAGGCTATTTTTTATACCCATTGTTAGGCTATTTTTCATACCCATTGTTAGGCTATTTTTCATACCCATTGTTAGGCTATTTTTCATACCCATTGTTAGGCTATTTTTCATACCCATTGTTAGGCTATTTTTCATACCCATTGTTAGGCTATTTTTCATACCCATTGTTAGGCTATTTTTCATACCCATTGTTGGGCTATTTTTCATACCCATTGTTGGGCTATTTTTCATACCCATTGTTAGGCTTTTTTTCATACCCATTGTTAGGCTATTTTTCATACCCATTGTTAGGCTATTTTTCATACCCATTGTTAGGCTATTTTTCATACCCATTGTTAGGCTATTTTTTATACCCATTGTTGGGCTATTTCTCATACCCATTGTTAGGCTATTTTTCATACCCATTGTTAGGCTATTTTTCATACCCATTGTTAGGCTATTTCTCATACCCATTGTTAGGCTATTTTTCATACCCATTGTTAGGCTATTTTTCATACCCATTGTTGGGCTATTTTTTATACCCATTGTTAGGCTATTTTTCATACCCATTGTTGGGCTATTTCTCGACCCATTGTTGGGCTATTTTTCATACCCATTGTTAGAATATTTTTCATACCCATTGTTAGGCTATTTTTCATACTCATTGTTAGGCTATTTTTCATACCCATTGTTAGGCTATTTTTTATACCCATTGTTAGGCTATTTTTTATACCCATTGTTAAGCTATTTTTTATACCCATTGTTAGGCTATTTTTTATACCCATTGTTAGGCTATTTTTTTATACCCATTGTTGGGCTATTTTTTATACCCATTGTTAGGCTATTTTTTATACCCATTGTTGGGCTATTTTTTATACCCATTGTTAGGCTATTTTTCATACCCATTGTTAGGCTATTTTTCATACCCATTGTTGGGCTATTTTTTATACCCATTGTTGGGCTATTTTTTATACCCATTGTTAGGCTATTTTTTATACCCATTGTTAGGCTATTTTTTATACCCATTGTTAGGCTATTATTTACACACTGAATAGTCTACTGATTTTCCCGGTTGCCCGATGATGACAAGGGGCACGTTGCGGGTATAACTAGTCGATAAGAGATGCTTACATCTTCATGGCACCTGATCCCATCCCTGATGTTTTAAGAGGTCTTTGTTTGCTCTGTCCCCGATTTTTATTGTTTCAATTGATTTTGAGCTTGATTTCTTTATGTTATATCCATATTTCAGGTAATAAAATGTTATGGAGGAATAATTATATTAAAGAAAAAATATGCAAAAATATATCACACGAAATTAAATTTTCCTAAATATTAGTCGTACAAGTAATTTTAAAAATGCTGTTTTAATAGTTTTAATTTAGTAAAATTTGAGGATGTCTGTTAAAATTTACTAAAATTAAAATGTAACTTAAATCATTTGTGTGACAGTATGCAGCTTAATTAAATATGTGTTAATTCTTTGCTCAATTTACAAAAGTGCATTTTGCAGATCAGTGAAATCCTTCTATGAAACTTTAAAGTGACAAAATGAACATGCTGTCAATATTAAAAACGTATCTTGCATAATTATGAGTAAATAAGATAGAATAATAAATGAGCAATGATTTAAGATATACACTGTAATATGAGAGTGGGATATAAATGTAGGACATGCATACATTTTTATTAGGAAAGGCATGTGCAATAATACACTTCATTTCAGCAGTAACATTAATTTCTTTATTGTCTTGTCCAAGATAAAACTACACATAGGTTATTGCTTTATAACCCTGTAAAACGATTTGCTCAGCACGTCACAGAACTGTAATTATCTTGCCGAGTGTTGCTTAGTGATGTAGTAGTACCCTAGACTTAATAGGTAAAATTTCTTATTGTTAAAAGAAAATTTATTTTTCAATCAAGGGGCAGGCAAAAATTGAAAATATGTTCTGGAAACACGGTGGATCTTTTTTTTAAGTTTACATGTATAATGATAATGATCAATCAGTTCGCTACCCTAATAGTGTTAGATAACTGAATGAACGCCTTTTGCGTTTATGCAATTGTCACGGAAGCAAACTAATTGATCCCTTTATATTACAAAAAAAATACATGTAGATTTTGCTTTGGTAAATACCTTTATTACTTTTCTTTTAAGATTTTGTTTTACCTGTCGCGTTTCCAGTTTGCTCTATATCGTTCCGTAGCGGTGGTACCCTGACGCTCGTGATGTCTCTGGATTCTTCTATAGCCACCTCAACCTGTAGATCTTTCACAATTTGTTGCGGGTTTATGTAAACCACGTGTTCATATGAGCCATGTTTACGCTTCAGAAGCTCTTGGTAGGTCAGATTGAAAATGACTTTTTCCTGAGCTGCCACATTCACTTCCACTGAGAAACGGTTTGTTTTTCTAGGCCTGAAATATTGGCGATATTTAAGATATAAAGCCCGAAAATCTCATAGTCATAGAGTCAGTATCTGTACATATATACTAGTTTGCAATAAAAGCTTACGAAAGGCACAATAGGCTGTGTAGAGAATTCTTTAATGTATATCATATATCATGTATATTAATGTACATTTCTGTAAACTAATTTCATGTATATCATATACTTGGCCTGCACTTTGACCTTCTCTCTCTCTCTCATGTATATTATATGACACTTTCTCTCTCTCTCATTCTACTGTTGTTTTACTTTGCACTTTGACCTTCTCTCTCTCTCTCTAACTTACTGTTGTTTTACTTGGCCTGCACTTTGACCTTCTCTTGTTTTACTGTTGTTTTACTTGGCCTACTTTGAAACACAATTACTTTGACCTTCTCTCTCTCTCTCTCTCGCACATATATATCACTTTGACCTCTCTCTCTCTCTCTCTCACTCTTCTCTCTCTCTCTCACTGTTGTTTTACTTGACCTAACATTCTCTCTCTCTCTCTTAAACTGTTGTAATAATTGACCTTCTCTCTCTCTCTCTAACTTACTGTTGTTTTACTTCTTCTCTATCTCTCTCTAACAATTATAACACCTCTCTCTCTCTCTCTCCAACTTACTGTTGTTTTACTTGGCCTGCACTTTGACCTTCTCTCTCTCTCTCTCTAACTTACTGTTGTTTTACTTGGCCTGCATTTTTACATTCTCTTTCTCTCTCTCTCTAACTTACTGTTGTCTCTCTCTCTCTCTAACTTACTGTTGTTTTACTTGACCTGCACTTTGACCTTCTCTCTCTCTCTCTCTAACTTACTGTTGTTTTACTTGACCTGCACTTTGACCTTCTCTCTCTCTCTCTCTAACTTACTGTTGTTTTACTTGGCCTGCACTTTGACCTTCTCTCTCTCTCTCTCTAACTTACTGTTGTTTTACTTGACCTGCACTTTGACCTTTCTTCTTGGCATCATCATACTTCTTCTGGGCGACGATTTTTTCGTTAACCTCCCCCGGGTAAATACGACCCCCAATCTCCCTAGATATAAAGTTACAATAAAATGATGAATGACACGCATATTCATTTTAAGACATAATTTTGATTCAAATTATGTGTAAATTTTAAAAATTATTTGTATGTCAAATGATTTATAGAAAAGAAGGAAATATCCAATGAATGATGAAATTTAGAGCTTTTCATAATTTATAAAACAAAGTATCATTTTGCAACTTATAGGCTGTAAGAAACATAGATTAGGTAATTAAAATACAATATATATGAACTTAAATGTGCTCTTTTGTGAATTTAAATCTACGCAAACATGGGATGAACTTATTGAACTGTAAATTCTGTACTGCATCCTAATTAATCGGTTATCATTGAGATATTTCTTTAACAAGCCTTTTAATGACCAATTAGTGATGATCCCTATTAATATTTTGTTGATATATATGACACGTAGGTGTTCGATTCATACGAAGTTCGTGAGACTTTGATCATTATCTTTCAATCTACGATACAAGACTCCTTTATTTGAAATCAATCCCAAACTATTCATAAAAAATACATTTAAATTTTCAAGATTGCAATTTTTAAAGCTATTCATTTTGTCTTGTTAAAGGATAGTTAAACTCATTTTAAGTTTAAAATACTTTGCAATTTCGATCATAAAAAATAATATGCATAAAATATGTTTTCTTAAATAACATATTGCTTCATACTCAGCACTGAATAAGTTTTTGTTCTTTATACATATAACTGTTCTTTCTATTCATGGACTAAGATGAAACAGATGATAACGAAGAAGTATCGATCACAAATATATTTTAAACAATAATTTTGTAATCATGGCATGGAACATGGTTCATATTATTAATTTTATAACATCACAGGTTGACCTGTCAATCAGGACTATATTATTAAAGAGTAAGGGATATTAAACATAGAAAGAAAATGTTTTGGATGTTCAAAGATTTCTTGTTTTTTTTTTTAAAATGTTTGGAGGCAATGGCCGATGAAAATTCGTTAACAAATCTTCAACTTCAAATATGGTGGAATACAAGACTGGACCCTCTTGTGATTAAGAATATTACAGTTGGTTACTGCGTCAGTTCCTTTGTTAGACCCAATTTGTGTGAAATATGTCGGTCAAAGTACTACCAAAATTATATATTTTAAAAGTCAAGGTGATAATGTAACGACCAAAGGATTTTAGAAACTGACTTTAAAATCATGTGTCGAAAAAGTAATTTTTATATGACTAATTATAAAAATTATTGATACCATATTCATCGAAGAAATTAAGGATTTTAATACTTATCTAAAATGATTAGACCAAATTCTGTTTTTTTTTAATTCTATATTATTTAAAATTTTTCTAGACATTTTTAAGAAAGTATATTTGACTGGCACCGATTAAGGAACATGATATAGCAGTATAAATCCAGAATACACTTTTATTTAGAGTATCTCTCCATTCTCTAACACTTTTTACAGTTTAAGAATAGACTTTTTTGCATTCGGAAATATGTGTTTAGGATTGAAGACAAAACAATTCTACCTACATCTGAAAATCTGAAATGAAGGCTTCATCTGGTAAAGTGACGTCAAATTTGATCTCTTGTGACGTGTTAGCAGGATTGGCAACTTTACTGGTGACCAAGGTCGTAGCGAATCGAAACCGGATATCTGACTTCACGTGCAGGTAGTAGATGCTCGGTTTCTGCAAAAAAATCGACCCTTTTTAATGTCAATGAAAAGTTCTTTAATTCGTTGAATTTTTTTAATGATGTTTCAATACAATTATTGATTGGAACGTCACAAAAGACTAGCAAGCTTAACAGAATTTTAGTTTCGAATTATGATAAAAATCCTTACAAACAAAGATAAATACATGTAGCAAAATCCAGTAAAAGTTAAAAAAAAGTCTCTTTCTTTACTCGTCACAAAGACATTAACCGTAATGAAAGAGAAACTTCAAGAATACTTTTTAACAATATATTCGAGAATTAGTGTAAATGAGATGTGGATACCATAAAATTCCAAGGAACTTTTGGAACAATTGAAATCACAAAATTTAAGCAAAATCGATAGCTTAAAAACATACGACTTTTCAACTTTACGAGCTCGAGGGTTGTTCGAAAAGTTCGTGGACAACTGTCATGTCTTTTTTTGACGTCATATGTTACTCAAATTTGGTAGAAATGTTTTAACAGTAAATCTAAATGATTTGTATTAATTTTTTTCAAAATATTACGATTTATTTAAAACTTATCTAGATTTTAAAAATGCAAAAATCGGATAGCGGAGCAGGTCAAAATTTAGTAAGTTACAAACAAAACACTTAATAATGTCTGAAGTCATATTCTCTGTGAAATGGAGCAAAAACGAAAAGCAACCTAGAAATTCAAATTAAGAATTGTTACATCGATTCGTGTAAAAAATTATGTCTTTATATTTTGCTTTGTTGAAAAGCAATCGACTTGGGAAGAAAAGTAGTCCTTATTGAAAACGACAAAAACGATGACGTTCTAGAACGTCACGGAGCGGCAGATAACGATGCAGTTTTGTGTTTTTCTTCGGAAAAATCCTGAATAAACACTAATAAAGTTGGAGGAATCGAGAAATATGTCACAAGCGAGCTGTGCATGTGTGGACAAATACTACAGGCAGTATTTCAGTGACAGAGACTCAGTATCGGATGAGGAAAATCTGTGAAGAAACGGTTTAACTTTAAAAATCTGAACAAAAACTTTGAAAAGTTGGAACCTCAAGAAAAGACATGGGCACTTCAGAGTTGCTTATCCCGTGAAAGCAGAGTTTAAGTAATAAAAGCAATCAAAACCTTAATAAAGGAAATTATACAACGAGAGCAATTCTTAAAAAATAAATTTCAAATATTACAAAAAGGATTTAATGAATGAACATTGGATTATACCCTGTGAAATGTATAGGGATAGTATTTTTAGAAATTCTTGACGCTATGTTTTGACGTTTCATTGCCGTTAAGTGTGCTCCGCGGGTACAAAACATGTTGATTTTAAACTGAAGTAAATTGATTTCTGTTAAATCGAATGAAATGCAACTTCACACATCAACAAAACAAATATTTTAACATATTAGATTGTACTAATTTTAAATTTCTAGTGAGTAATATAAATTAGACTGACGTCGTCCACGAACGTTTCGAACAACCCTCGTATACACAACCATTCCCCACGATGAATTAAAGTGCAGGCTTTTTGATATCATTGAAAGCTGCTTTTTTCAATAAAAATGGAACTCGTTAATTTACCAACCTTGTCAATGCAAAATTATTTTGTTAAAAACATTCTGATTGTACACACAAATTCTCTGAAGTTGACATCAAAAAGATGCTTCAGTTTCTGATTGACTATATCTATTTTATTTTTGGAGACCAGGTCTTCCAACAATCTAATGGTATCAATTGCGCAACGTTAATAGAAGACCTTTTTTTGTATTCATATGAAGCAGAATTTGTCAAAAATCTTATTTGTGAAAAGAAGAAAACATTTGCTGCGGCCTTCAAATCGATATTTAGATATATCGACGACGTATTGTCAATAAACAATAGTTATTTCCATTCTTATGACGATACGATGGTGAGCTTGAGATAAAAGATACCACAGAGTCTGACACATCTGTTTCATACTTGGATATTTCACTTGAGGGAGACATTAATGGCAGTCTAACAACTAAGCACTATGATAAACGTGATGACTTTAACTTTTCAATCGTCAGCTTCCCTTACTTAGGCAGCAATATACCTTGATCACCTGCATACGGCGTTTATATATCTCAGTTGATTCGATACGCAAGGGCATGCTGAACGTATGTACAATTTCATGATTACTGACAAGCGAGTTGATGAAACAAGAATATCAGCAGTTCCATTTAAAATCATCATTTCGTAAGTTCTATGTCGATAAAATGATCTTGTCAGCAAATACAATTTATCATTGAGTCAAATGCTGATTGACGTTTTTCATATCAGGCACGTAGCAACGGGGGGGGGGGGGGGGGACTGCCCCCCTCCCCCACTTTTTCCCAACATTACCTTTACTATTGAAAATGTTCATTGAAAGGTTGTTTGCCCCCCCCCCTCCCAACCACACACACACACTTCTCATCACAGTAAAGTGATATCAAGGAAATGTAGTAATGTATGCCAAAAAATTGGAAGTGAAAGAAAGTTGGCATTGAAAAAGTTGGCCAAGAACATACAAATTACCGTTTTCTGAGAAATTGAAGGCAATCTGGATACATTTTCTTTGTCCTAAATGGAAAAAAAAACTTCCCTATTTATGACTAGTTTTCTTAATTTTTCATTGGAAATTACAGTTTAAAATATGATTTTTCATCTTGTTTACCTACAAACTATGCCCCGAAACATCTTTTTGACCAAGCTAAAATTATAAAGCATCATTAAACATGTTAAAGGAATTTATTTCTTAAATTTGACATATCTGTAGGCACCTTTAATTTACTAAGATCTTGCCCATAATATATTTATCAATGAAAATCATTTATTCATATATATGACACTCAATGTGTTTATTTCATTTATAATTTATATGAGCACAAAATTTTAATTCGCGTTAATATTGAATTTTTATATACACTGTAATTATTGTTCTGTATTATTTACATTTGTATTGTTATTTCACAAAATCTCTTAGTTTCTTGTTTGTTAAATTTTTTTCAGATTTTATATTCGTCATGTCAACAAACTACGGAATTTTTGTGTACAAAATGTGCATTCGGAACAGACACTTGGGTTATAAAGTAAAGCATCATCAATATATTAAATATTTCATTTAATTGGTCAGCGTTGTTCAAGGATAATGATATTGATATTAGTCAAGCTTAACGACTCGGGATTCTTTTGAACAGGAATTATGAAATGTGGATTTCTAAATCAAATTAGAGTAACCAAACACAGTTAAATCATCTTTATATCAATCATATATATTAATTTTGAGATCTCAAGATAATATTATTATTTTTTTATTTTATATTCAAAGATGGAACAACTTGACCACGATTAATGAAAATATTAAGAACCATTCTCTGTAATGATTTGAAATTTTATATAGGAGCTGTGGCACACATAGTCTCAGAATTTCTCTAAACTCTCTATGATAAAAGTCATTGATACCCTATACTGAAAACAAAAATTGGTTGCTATGTTTAATATACCATGGCAACATGTCTTAAATCGAAAAATGGCATTTTTTAAATCATAGTTAACATATTGGCAATGACTGTTTCTAAAAGTTGAAGGTCACATGTCTCAAATGCATGATAAATATGTTTGGTAAATCAATTATTACATACGTTACTATGGTAACAAAGTAATCAAAAGTTAAAAAAAATATTCATTTAATTTTATAAAGTCATACATGTAAAAATAAAAATCAATTATAGGATGAAATGTGACCAAATAATAGAAAAAAGAGCCTTGAAACATATACCAAGAACAAAATATGATATTTCATTTTGGTTGGCAATGGTTGCCAAGGTTTTTATACCACAGAAAGCCTTCAAAGTAACACTCTGAATGTTTAATCTGATCCTATCTTTTAAAAAAAAGCACATTTCCTCATAACTAATGATCAATTTTATAAGATGTTGGTGTGCTCCAAGTTTTCCAATTTGAAAGAATTCAGATTAGATTCTTTAAATTGAGCGTTGCTATGGAAATAAGCAGAAAATATATGCTTAAAAACCTGAAAAATATTTTCTTTCCTTGGATACGTATCCTTAAAAGTAGATTCCCAAAACTTTTATGATTTATATTTATTATCAGCTAACTTGACTTTTAATTTTGACTATCATCCAATCTCTAAGTGGATGCAAGAAGATGGCACACATGGTTTAATATTGATATAAAGTTCACAAAATTGAACATTTTCCCTTCTTGGTAACCATAGCAACAGTGTTGATTTATTCATAAAATTTTATCAATATATGATATTCAACTTCTGTTCTTAAGTACTATTCAAGCTGAGTCCTTTGATTTGTTTCTTGATTAAATGGCAATTTAATTCTTAATGCAGCGAAAAATAATTCACTTTTAAGCACTGGTACTTTGTTTCCATTGTAACACTGCAAAGCAGCAAGTATACCCAATTTTTCTTATGGTTTTGGTGTTGCAAGGTCCTAAGGATGCATATTTGTCAGTCTTGAATTTTCATGTTTTTCCTCAAGACAGTAGCATTAACCCAATCTTAGTTACTGGTTTTGCATGGTTACACTGTGTTACCATGGCAACCATAAAAGTTATTTATAGAATAATATTGCTTATACTTATATACTTAAGGTCAAACATTTTCATAGTGTTTCTTAAGTCGTTGATTGACATGTTACACCTACCAACGGAGTGTTTTTAAGCATATTTCAGCAGTTTAAATGTATTCCAAATGTACCCTTGGTTACCACTTATAAGAGATATATTCTAAACAGTTTTTTACAGTATAAGTGACATCAAGGTGTCTTGTTTTTGTGAGAATGGTTTGTTGGCTTTTTCTAGTTTTTATTAAGCCACAGTCAAGATTTAAAGTGGCTGAAAATCTCGATTTTTCAAACTTTTCCGGCTGTTGCCATGACACATAGCAACAAAAATATTTTAAATTGTGAAACTGTTGTAAGTTAATCATGTTTTACTTTTCAGGATGTTTCGTTAAATTCTTCAAATTTATTGTTGTTTGTTCTGAGTTGCAGTTTCTGCACAGTACTGTACACGTTTTAATTCGTTTTTCCTTTTGATTAAAGCGAGAAAACAGAAACTTAGTTCAAATTAACCGAACCAATTTCAATGTAGTTTACCCCTCCTCAGCCACTTGATCGGCCAATTTGCAAAACCAATCACAAAAACCAAGAATATGTTAACAAACAAACACCATTGACATGCATATGTTAAAATTTCCAAAGAAATATCCAACACTTAACAAGAGTCACCTTTTTAATTGTAATTTTCTCAGCCTGAGACTAGAAATTCTCATTAGCGCATGGTAGGCAATAATTATTGACATCTGACATGAATTGACCATCAGAAACAATATAAGGAGCATTTTAAAAATAACCTTCACCGTATTCAAAATTAGTCTGCAACCAAGAGAAAGGGGATTTCCCATTTGTTTTCCTCTCAGAGCAAGAGCATATATGTTATACTGATCGCATCTGCAGCATATTTTTTCCTACCAAAATGGGGGAATCCCCTTGTGTGTTTTTCTCAAAGCTATTACTGTTATTTTGAAATTTGACTGGGCTTCAGCCTTGAACTAGTTTTCTTCTATACATAATTCTGGAAGTTTTTCACAGGAAAAAAAAACATCATGGTATGCATGCTCAGGTACTTGTTTCTGTAATACATTTTCAACCCATAGTATAAAACAATAATGCTACGACATTTATATGTTTTAAAAATTATAACAGAAAAAAGTGTGTGTATGGCAGAAATTTTGCTTACAATGGGAAAAGAATTGAACATGTTGAAAGAATAAACATGAGAAATATATTAATATGTCCTAGTGCCAATTCAAGCAGTCTAATTGCATGCAATTGTTTTTATGGAAAGTTAAAACAGAAGGTGAAGAGCACTTCACACATTATAAGTATGGATACTTCCGGTAGAGATTAAATATGACATGGAATGCAGTCAATTAAGTCGGTTTTAGAGACTGTACTCAAATTAACATATATTTATATACATGTATGTTGAATACACTTCATTCTGTGAATGTATAACCTACTTATAATGTTAAGATCAATATCAATGTGTTTGTCACCGTATGTCTTTTTTCCCGTCTGCAGCTCCAAACTTTAAAATATTTTAATGATATAAATTAATTTTAACTTTGAAAAAAACTTTTGAATGTCTTCTTGTATTCTTTGCATATGTTACATGCAGCTGTGCACTAAATGAAACTGTACTCTTCCCTTATCTTGAAGGTTTATTACAGTTGTCAATATATATTTAACTTTTAAATAGTTCATGCTATGTACCAGATTTCTTTTTTATATATATAAAAAATACAGATTTTTTGGAATCTAAGTGTGCAGTATTTTTAAAGACAAAACAAAAATTCTCCCACCCAGTTAAGATATTCATGCTTTCAATACGATTTAATTTTCGTTATTATACTATACATGTAAGAAAGAAATGTTCAAAAAGATCAAAGTACAATTGTATGCTACAACTTGTTGTTTCAAGGAACAAGACCTCGTTATGTATTTATCACGAAAATCAAAAAAATTACAGGAAGTTATTAATTGGGGAAAAAGTTTGAAAGTGGTGTAGGCATTACGAAATAAATATTTCGAAACTTTCTTCATAAGTGTAAGGAGCAAAAACAAGATGTCTTAATTTCTGTTATTGAAATATTTATAGCATTAGGTAAATGCTTTATTTGATAAATATAAAGCATTAAAAAACGAAGAAAAAAACGATTGCAAAATAAGCTAATAGAAGATTTTTTTAAAGACAAAATGTAGAGAAAAAAATGGAATTTCATAAATCAAGTAGAAATAGAGAAAACGGTGAAGTGTGTTTGTTCAATTTATTGCATGTCGAGTATTAACTTTCTGTAAAAGTATCGATAGACTTCAAATTAATTGGTGCTTGTAAGAATACACCTTCCTCTAGCTTCGAACGATCTCAAATCAAACATTTTCTATTTTTGCAATGGTTTTCTAGTCAATCATATTACGCCATTTATATGCAATCAAAACGCAAAAAGAAGAAAAAAGTACTCTAGTTTTTATTCCTTTCTTAGACGATTTTTTAAAAGTACAATTTATTAAAGACTTTTATAAATTCAAAAAAGAAACGTTTCTATCTTTAAAATACCTTTCAATAGATATAAAAAAAAAATCATAATGAAAAATAAGAGAAAAATATTGTACAAAGATAATCTTAGCTTCTGGCTTGGTATGGGGAAAATTTGACATCAAACAAAAAAAAAATAAATTCAAAAAAATTCTACAGCAAATTTCGAAATAAAATTCAAGGAGTTATTTTCTTTTCGTAATCTTTAGCCTGGTACATTTCGCAATTTTTTTGACTATGCATTCTGCAGATTATGATGATCAGTGCATTAAAAACAAAACAAAATGATTTTTAATATTCTTCGTCCTTTGCTCAGAAGATTGCATATATCTATGAATGTATTCATATAAAGCAGATCGAATTTGTTCAAAATCTTATACATGAGAAGAAATCTCGACATTTAGATATATGTAAGACGCATTATCAATAAACTATAATTATTCCATCAAATGTCGAAATGCTATATCCCACTGAGCTTGAAGATTATTTGAAGATAGCACTAAGAAACTTTTTGACACATTTGTTTCACATACATTGTATGGTTATTTCACTATAGAAAAAGACATTAATGATACCTTAACAACAACGCTTTATGATAAACGTGATGACTTCAACTTTTCAATCGTCGACTTTCCTTCTTTATGGAGCAATATATCCTATTCATCCGAATATGAAGTTTATGTTTCTCAGTTGATTCGTTAGGCACAAGCATGACAAAAAAGGTGTGTAACAAGAATACAGGAACAAAAACAGTCTCTCTTCAAGTCGTCAATTTACAAGTTCTATGGTTGATACAATGACAATTCAATTTATCCTTGGGTCAAATGCTGACTGACGTTTTTCATACTAATAGTTAGGCCATTATTTACACGTACAGTAGTCTGTGCCCCCCCCCCCCCGGTTTTTCCTGATCATGACAAGGAGCTCACAGCTGGTGTAACCGGACACCAAGGGGGATATTCACTCCTCCACGGCACCTGATCCCACCTATGGAATACATGTTTTCACTGCTCTTGATTTGCGTTGTTTGAGTGTACTCTTGAAATTAATCTGAATACTTTTCGTTATCTCCATATTTCGTTCTTTTAAGGTCAAGATCTATTGAAATATTCAGAATCATCGCCTACTACCTCTATGCTCTATGACACCGTGATATTTTAGTCTGATATGAGAGTTCAAGCAAAAAGTAAAATATCTTGTGTGTAATATTTTAGGTTGAAGAAAACAGATCTTCGCAAATCTGCGGCTATGCCCAAGCCCAAGTCATAACGAACCCAAAGACATCAGAAACCTCTAAGTGTCAACGTTCAATGAAACTTCTATACCTTTTTTTATGATTCACCTCATTTTAAATATAAATGACACACAGACCTTAAATTTCAGGGGGTTACTGGTATATACGCCGTTTATCGAAACGTTTCTGTAATGTAACAGGTAAAAGTAAGCTTTTGTACACTTCGTTAGATTGAAATGTTACTGGTCATGATATTTAAATACGTGTAGATGAACACTGGATTTTAATATTCCAAGATACATACCTGACTTAAACATAAACAGAAGGTGGTGAAAATCAAGCACAAAATAAATAATCCTGTTGACATTTTGTTGAAAAAAACGAGTTCAATGTCCACAAAAAAAGGTGTTTACGGCCAATGTCGAATATATTTCTCTCTTCAGTCTCGCTTGAGTTTTCCCCGAATTCCTTCTATATTAAATGTCAATCTTTGAGTAAAATGTCAGAACAATCATTTGGATGATTATTTTACATCCTCATCAGATGCATCAATGCATCTTTAAGCTTGCAGACTTCGCTATTTATTGTGCGACGCGATGGGGTCGTCTGCTCGCGGCGGCTTACAAACATTCCCCAAATGCAGGAAGGCACATTATGGGACGCATAATAGCCACCTGTTTAAAGATTCAGTCCTTCCTTACTCGATAATGCACAGATTTGATTATCTTTATACCCAGAGAGGAAGACAAGATAAGCTTCGAGATATCAACTAAATTTTCGTCTAATGTGTTTAAATCTGACGACATGATAAATTCGAAGATAAAGATTTTATTTTGGTTGATTGGGTTTTAATTGGAAGAGTCGTGTATTCTTGTAATGATAAGAAGTTTATATTATTTCATATAATTTGTAATGAAATAATTCTGCACTTGGTTTAGTAGGCAGAATTTTTTCTTATATATACATGTAGTGAAAAAAATTATCAATGTCCTACCAAATGTCACCTTACTTTTTTTTTTTTATTACAAACATTTATCTAAAATTTTTACTTTTAAAATTGTGAGATTTTTTTTTGGAAAAAGACATAATTTTAAACGAAATAAAAATGTTCTTATGATTACAAGTTTACATTATATGAATAAAAAGTATTTTAAAATCTATAACACATTTATGCATGTTCATGTATGGCGCAATTCTATGTATATTTAAGAAAAAACTATGTATATACATGATTTCTTTTTCAAATTTGAGAAAAATTATGTTATCTTTTTTTGTTTTGTTTTAAATTTCTGTAAGCATTTAAAAATTTCATGATATCGATGTCAGTTACTTGGTAATTGTATCCTTTGATCTGTTTCAAATAAAAATGATTGACGTCTTGTCGTCTGCAGTGGTTACTAGTAGAGTATTTGCTGTAGAGTCGTGCAGTAAGTATTAATACCTTCATCGCCTGCATACGGGGTTTATATCTGTTAGTTGATTTGATATGTGAGATCGTGTTCTACGTATGAACAATTTCTAATACGAGATAAGTTATTGACAAAGAAGTTGATGAATCAAGAATATCAGCATCTCGTTTAAAGACATTATTTTTGTAAGTTCTATTGTCAAAAAATAACACTGTCATCAAAATTAATACAATCTATCATTATGTCAAATGCTGACTGACATTTTTCATTCTAATTATTAGGCCATTATATATACAAAATGAATTGTCGGCGGATTTTCCCATTATTTCGCGATTTGACAAGGAGCACACGGCGGGTGTGACTGGTCTGCAGGGGATGCTCACTACTCCATGACACCTGATCCACCCTTTGATATTTCATATGTATACGTGTTTGCACTGCCCTGTATTGTTAATGGACTTTTGAGCTTGAAAACTTCTTTTTTCCCCAATTTTTTTCATCCTTACATTGCGGGTTCAAATTCTTCCATTATGGGACATGAACTGAAGATGTAGATGTTTCGCTATTTTGTTAGGAATGTTATACTACTTTGAATGATTACAAGAGCCGTATCCTATATGTAGGTGCATACTTTGGCATACACAACATCTATTTGGTATGGCAATATATGTAATGTATACGCCAATAAACGTACTTACTTTAATATCTGTACCTTAAACAGTTATCTCTTTAAAGCATGAAATTAGTAACTGATATATATCAAATGCATTTATGAAATTTTTTTTTATTTTAATAGCAAATTTTGTATGCATATTTTTTTTATCTATCAAAGGTTCCAAATTAAACCAATTATAATAAATTTCTCTATGTTTTCACATAATCAATTAGGTAACTGGTATTTTTTTTGAAACTTTAACTGTGCAAAAGTTTTTTTTTTAATTATCTGTACATGTACATGTCATAAATAAAAACATTTTATATTACATTTTAACTATGAATATTATAGAACTATTTTCTGGGAACATAAAGATAGACTAACAACGCTTCAGAGGCGACATCTTTTAAACCATACAATGTATACCGGTATATATTAAATTTAGTAAATTTCTCTATTAAGATCAAGACAAAGGCTGTCTGTGAACTTGCTGCTTAAAGACAGGAATGTGCTTAGAAAAGTAGCTGAACTGTTTGCGGCAATGTTTCCAGTAGTGTTACTAGCGATGTTTGCTACTAGTTATCAGCGCGGTTTCCGTAGAAAATATAATGCTTCTTTCAGACTTGAAGCAAACCTCATTTGCATAATAAAATGTTGATCCTGTAAGCTTGTTACAAACTTGCCACAAACTTGATTCAAACACAAAGACCCTGCATATGCTTGCTTGGTTTCCTTAGGTTCGTTGCAGAAAGCTTGCAGCAATATCTGAAGCAAGATTCCAGCAATGTCTAATGCAGTAAACGTTTGCAGACAAACAATATTTTGGTAATTATATACGCTGTCTTCAATTCGACAATCAGATACTAGTATATCGACGATATATCGTTGAGGTTTTATCCATTAACAACAGTTATTTTCATTCATATGCCGACTCTATATACATCCTCTATAAATACATGGACACTAGAGGTGTGATCAGATGCCACGACGGAGTAAGCACCCCCTATCGATTGGTCACACCTGTCGTATGCTCATTGTCATGATTAGAGAAACAGAATAATACGTCGATAATTCAGTGTTTAAAAAGCAGTTAGTATGAAAACATCAGTCAGCATTCGACCTAATGATAAATTGTACTTTCTGACAAGTTAATTATATTGAATCGAAATAAAAGATACCACAGAGTCTGTTTCATGTTTGGATGTTTGCTAAAGACGATAAGAGCCAACTAAGAACTAATTCGTCAAGTGAAATAACTTCGGCTAAAAGTAACCACCTTAAATGAATTATATAGAGATATTGCACAGGACTCAATACCTAAGTCTATTTAACAATACCAAAAAGGAGCAGAGCAAATACGGACCTCCGAAGCGTCAGAGGTGGGTCAGGTGCCATGGAGGAGTGAGCATCCCCTGCCGACCGGTGCTCCTTTTCATGATCGGGAAATAACAGAAAATCCGTTGTCAATTTAATGTGTTTATATGGACTAACAATAAGTATGAAAAACGTTAGTCAGCATTTGACTCAATGATAAATTGTATTAATTTGGTGACTGCAAGGTCATTGTATATCAACCATAGAACTTACGAAATGATGACTTTAGACGGGACTGTTGATATTCTTGTTTCATCAACTTGTTTGTCAATACTTTACCTCGTTTTAGAAATTTTACATACATATAGATCTAGCATGCTCTTGCATATCGAATTAGCTGAGAGATATTAACTCCGTATGCATGTGATGAAGGCATATTGCTGCATAAACTTTCTTTATTTAGTAAAATCCCGTTATCACCGGGAGATGATAATTACATCATCCTACTTATTCGATACTCAAGAAAATGCTAAGATTACAATCAATTCTTAAAACGAAGCAAGCTTCTGACAGATAAGTTTATGTTAGAGGGTTTTTGCAATCTCGTTCAAGTCAGCATTTTGTTCTTTCTATGCATAGTCGTTATATTGATCTTGTTACATCTTATACATGAATTATATAACATAGCACTGGGTATAATTTTGACTGATATTTATCATTCTATGAATTGTTATGTCTTTAAGTTAGATATCAATACTAGGAGCCCAGTCGACAGTGGCAGCTTAATTCTCTAGGGTACCTGATCCTATTTCGGAAATTCCGAGGATACTTGTCATATTATGTTCTGTTCTAAGTATTGTGTCGTTCGTGTTTTTTTTTGATAAATTACTGTTCCTAATTTTCATTCCATACGTATAAAGTAGTAAAAATCAGCAACACCAGGTCTATTTGTACTATTTTGTGCATTGTTGACTATTATAATACATGATGATGATTGCCACTAAATTTGCTTTGCAACAGTAATTTATATTTCGTTTGCTCTTTTCTAAACTCTAAATAGAAGGTAATTGTACGAGGAGGGTTTTTTTCAAAAATGAGAGTTTTACAGTTAATTTTGTAAGCGATGTATCATTTAAAGACTTGTTAACCCCACATCCCAACCCTTTTCCTTGTATTTATGTCAAGTTCACCCATTTTAATAGATTAATAATTACAAAATACACACAATCACATACACATTTAATAGAATGAGAATTTTTGAGCTAGGAGATTTCTCAGTTTTGGTCAAAGGTTTCTCAGAACATAAAAGATGTCAGTTATTTTCCCAGTTTTTTTCTTTCAGATGCTAGCTTCCTCAATCCGACGTATAGTAAATCTAAATCATTAAATTTTATTCAGTGGTAAAATAAGAGTTGCAGATAAGAGATGGGTACCCTTAAAACAAGAGGCCCATGGGCCTTATAGGTCACCTGAGCATTATGCAACAACTTTCCAGTGATTGAATTTGATTCATGTTTTAATCCAGATGCTATGGCATTTACAATTTTGAAAGAGGCCCCATTGATCATCATAACAATACACTTAGCAGCTGCTAAGTTTGTTTACTTAATACCCATAGGCAGGGTAGGGGAACAAAAAATGCATTTCAAGTAATCAGTAATATTTAGCATGATCAGTAATGCCCCAATCACACATGAACCCCTGAGTGTGGTTTCTTTCTGCATTGTTATCCTTAGGCCTAGATCCACACATTGCACAATTTTTGAAAAGGCACCCTTGCTTTTCAAAAATATTTGATTAATACCAAGGAGCATATTTCAAACAATTCATCTAGTTTCAGTATATAAGTACAGCACCCCCCTCCTTTATGGTACCCCTGACCCTGGGGCCTTGAAATTCACAATTCTGGAAGATAAGTACCCTTGCTCATCATAACTATATAGGTAGTTCATCTGCTTAATACCAAGGAACAGAGAAGAAAACTTTCAAAGATTCAATGTATTTTCTCTATATAATCAATAGAGCCCCGCCCTATCACTAGAACCCCTGACCCTAGGGCCATAAAATTCACAATTTTGGAAGAGGTATTCTTGCTCATCATAACTATGTAATTAGTTTATTTCATTCCTAGGAGCAGAGAAGAAGATTTTCAAAGAATTCATGTATTTTCACTATATAATCTATAGACCCTCCCCCCCTTACACCAGAACCCCTGACCCTGGGGCCATAAAATTCACAATTTTGGTAGAGGCACTCTTGCTCATCATAACTATGCACTTAGTTAGTTTATTTAATACCCAGGAGCAGAGAAGAAGATTTTCAAAGAATTCATGTAATTTCACTATTATAATCTATAGAGCCCCACCCTTACACCAGAACCCCTGACCCTGGGGCCATAAAATTCACAATTTTGGTAGAGGCACTCTTGCTCATCATAACTATGTACTTAGTAGGTTTATCTAATACCCAGTAGCAGAGAAGAAGATTTTCAAAGAAATAATGCAATTTCACTATATACTTATTTGGCCCCGCCCTAGCACTAGAACCCATGACCCCGGGGCCATGAATTTCACAATTTTGGTAGAGGACTCAATGCTGATTACAATTATGCAAACAGTTTGACTGCTTGATGTCCAGGAGTAAAGAAGAAGATTTTTAAAGATTGCACTAATTTTAGTGGTTTTTGCCCCACCCCCCAGGCCCCAGGGGGGCAGGGACCATGAAATTCAAAATTTTTGTTCCCCTTTACCCATAGATGCTTTGTGCCAAATTTGGTTGAAATTGGTTCAGTGGTTTCAGAGAAGAAGCTGAAAATGTTCAAATGTTAACGCACGACGAACGGCGGACGACGAACGACGACGGACGAAAAGTGATAGCAATAGGTCACCTGAGTTTACTCAGGTGACCTAAAAATGGGGAAAAAACGGCAGTGTCCATGTTTTGCTATGGGAAACCAAAATATGCGTCAGATCAGAAAGTAATTAGGAGGTCACAATGGCACTATATGAAAGATTCTGTGAAAGTCTCATTAATTTCAATCAGTGGTACAAAACGATTTGCAGATACATGTATGAGATGGGTACCCCAAAATGTAACATCCTGATCACTAGGGCTGGGTATTGGCCTGAGATTTCGTATTGCGATATATTGCGATATTTTTAACTGTATTGCGATATGTATTGCAATATTTTCAATGTAATTCAAAAGGCATTTTCTTACTATATTTACTTTAATTTACGTGCAGAATGTACATAACTATGATAAGTGACCAACACGAAAAAAAAAATCTTGTTGATTTCATATAAGTTATGCTCTAAAATACTCTCTCAAAACAACTTCTGTTTTACTGTTTGTCTTAACAACAAACTTTCACAAGTCAATTTTTATATTTTATGACAAAATTCCTTAATCTTAGCATATTGCTAATATATTGATATTACAAAATCGTATTGCGATACGATATTTGTTGTCATTGTATTGCAATATATTGAAATATCGATATTATTGCCCAGCCCTACTGATCACTGTAATTATACCTTACCCCTTTTCAAGCAAGGATACAAAAATTGTAGCAGTTCCAATTAATAAATATATTTACTACATGTAGGTATCCTTAAATGTGAATAAAGCAAGAAACATAATTTGTAGTAAAACCAGTTTATTGATGTGTGATAAACTTAATGAAAAATACAAACTTTGCACACCGACTGAAATCTGAATAAATGTATACAATGACCTTGATGGGCTACATTCTCAAGGAGAATGTGAAACGGAAAATTTAGTCATTCATATATTCAAAATTAATTAGGACAAATGCAAGACAGTTTATATGAAATAATATATTGGTATGAAATGTGTACAATTCATTCTCATATAAACTGAAAGACCATTCATTTCATAGTTTGAAGAAACTTGATTCAAAAATATAAATTAAATACATGATCAGAAACACATACTTCTATAAGCATGATAAGCGACTATTTTCCCTTTTATACCAAAAATCCTTAAATGAGTAAAATTAATTCTTTTAGATTATTTGTAACAGCTTTTGGTGTAGGTGATTTTTCTTATTCCTCCGATCTTTTTTTTTTCTTTAGAAACTGAAATCCTCAGTCTATAGATAAAAGTGGGCGGTGGTTGGGGCTGGGTGATGGGGATGAGTGATGGGGGAGGGTAATTGGGAGGGTTATAAAAAAGAAATTGACAAATCCAAAATTACTAAATATAGCCATATACAATCCAAGGTTTTTCACATCATTAAAAAATAATAATTAGCAGTAGGCTTATTAAATTGATTGAAAAATAATACTAGAAAAAGTGCAAATGCTTTACAGAGGTGTTCAAAATAAAATACATTTAATATTGGTAGTTTTAAGCATACATAATATTAACATGATTTCAAATGAAAAAAAATATCTTAAGGGGAATAAATAGCATCAGAAGAGCAAAGCACTAAGTATAGAATATACACGTTATTTATAAGATTTTTTTGGGCAGTTCCCTCTTGTTCACTCTGAATAAACAGTGAACTAAGAAAATGTTAAGTGAAATTTTTATAGTAGATGTTTACAGAAGAGTTCAAATCTCAATTTGATTTATTATTTCCAAATAGAGGAAATGTCAATTCCTCCAGAAAAAAATAATAAAACTGACATTACAAGGTATTTTGTCAAATGTTTCACAACCTATCAAGTGCTTGCTGTCTGATTACTTCTTTACATTTTTCTAGGGAAATTTTATTAAATGAAATTTTGGCCAGTTTCCATTTTGGAACTTTCATGCAAACATGTTATTCAAGTCTTAGATCATAATATAAGTTCAGTGCCACATAAAAATCTCCAAAATTTTCAACAAATGTCAGAAGTGTGAATGTTCAATTACCAGTAAATATACATGTCAGAGTACAAGCATGAATATGTATCAATGATATATGCACAATAAGGCCAGCATTTTTTTTATTTTTAGGTTTACAAACCCGCCGCTCAAGTTTTTGAATTTTCAGAAAAAAAATAAAATTGAGAAAAACAGAATTTTTTCTTTCCGATGTCAAATTTGAGTCGGGATCGAGATTTCAAATTTACGAACTCGTACTTCCGGTTTTAAATGCATGATGGCGGGTAATGAATGTAGTCCATAGCAGCACTAAAGGTTGGTTTAATGTAAATATTTATCGATAGGAGTGCCATTCAAAACGTTTCACCCGTTCTGAGAACAAATAAAATGCTGACGACTTTGTTGCACGATGACATTTTGGCGAGATAAATACGTATCCATATTCAAAAGTATCTGTCATCTGTCTGTAAATTATTTTCCTCCCACAGGTTTAAAACTGCCCATGGTAGCTATTATCAGAGACATTGTTTAGGTCTCTGTTATAGCTTACAGTCTTGTATCATTCTTCAGAAAAGGGTAGTTTATGCAGCAGATGTAATGAATAAAACTATCAGAGAAGTTAAGTTCATTTGAGGAAGAAATAAACAATAGCCTAGAGAAATAAAATATTTCAACTAATTAAAAAATAAACAAGTATAATCAAATATATACAGGCATGTAGTATCGTTTGTGTCAGCCAGAAAAGTTATTTTACAATTGATTGAAAAAAAATTCTATCCTACTCCCCAGTACTCCCTGTCTGTTTTATGAAAGGAATTATTATTTTAGGTCTCAAGTTAAGTATATTTTAGAACAATTTCAACACTTTCACCTAACACATATTGAAAACAAAAATGAAGATATATATTGAAAGAGTTTTAAAAAATAATTTTAAAAAAAATCTTTTTTTTTTGTCCAACATTACAAGACTTATAAATATCACTGGCCCCAACTGGTAGATGATGAAATAAACAAAGGTTTTATTTTCCCCTTTGTAACTATGTGTTCAGTTGCAAGGAGCCTGTTAGGAAAGCATAAAAAAGATTGAAGCAAAAATTAATGTAGAAAAGTCGATAATGTATCCCAAAAAGAATTTTATTTTTATTTTTATTTCCTCCTCGTACGGGACTTTTTCATTCTGATGTTCGTAAACCTAAAAATAAAAAAATGCTGGCCTAAATGAACAAATATTGAGGAAAGACATTAAAAGATACGTACAAATATTTCCTTTTTTCAGATTCAAAACTATTCTAAGTAAGACTAAAGATGGATGAAAGTAAAATTTGGAATGTTGTGATTTTAAATTAATTCATTCTTGTACATCCACTAGTTTTAAGCATATTCTTTGTCTAACACCAGAACTAAAACTACAAGCAGGTATGATAAATGGCATTTAAAATATACTGTGAAAATTTGTTTTTCAAAAAGAGAACACTTAAAATTCAAATTTAAACAATAAGGATTAATATTTTTCTGGGGGGATTTTTCAAACCTGTACATAGTTTCTTGTCAAATTAACTGGTTTAGATATCCACTAAACTTGTATTTAGCATATAAATGCACTGCACAATAAAATATTAAGTAACATGCATTAAAAATACATACGCTGTATATGCTAACATACAGATCAAAATTTTACCTGTATATGACATAAAATGGGCACTATTCTATAAACCATTTAGAATAAATACATTCATACACTCATCAACGACTCAGACATAAATAAATACAATAAATACATAATGGTAAGTACCACACAAAATGTCACCTGACTAGTATTTTAAATAGTTATGTAACAACAATTAGCAATAACTAATTAACAATCACCTCTTTTCCCATTCAATTCCATTGTAAAAATGACTTCCCTTCCAATATTTTTTTTTAGCAGAGAAGCACACATTTTGAGGGAAAAGGTATGTTAATAACTTAAAAGTATTTTGGAGGAAAAAATACCAATTCAATCACTGAAAGAAATGTTCCACAAAATTTCATTTTTGTAACATTACAAAACAAAAATCTGATTTGAAGTTTGAAAATCAAACCATTCGCCTCTGAATATCCAATAAATTTCTAACCCTGGAAATGGTTGTCAATACTGTCTATTGGATAGAAAGCTCGATGATAAATAATTTTTTTTCTGCAGGGCATCACGCTGGACGTGAAAATCATTATCGCAACTCAGACACAGACTGACCTGGGTCATGGCACATGATTGTAGAAAATACAACAAATTTTACATTCTACTGTAAAAAGTATTTTAAAAATCAGATTACATGTAACATGCATACCTAAGCCTCCTAGAATTGGTGTCATGAAACAATAATCGCAGTCCACAATGTTCATAGCTTGATAATTTATCCATAAAATCCTGTATACATGTACAAGATAAATTTGGCTAACTCTTACTTAAAAATGACATTTTCACCACATTTTTATGTTTGGTGCACTTTACTGATATCAAATAAGTAAAGAAATAATTTCTTCCTTTCACATTCACACAGACATGGCATCAAAGAAACTTCATATTTCCAGGAAATCTTTTAACAAGGTCAGTCTTCTTTTCTCTGCTACATCCATTTGGTTTTCTAGATCCTGTCAATTAGAAACATTTTTTTTTCAAATGCCTCTGAAAATTACATGCATACATTAGTAAAACCAGGTATTGTTAAGTACAGTGTACAGAGCTTTTTTTTTGTTTTAAAGGGATTCACTCAAAAGACATTTGAAGAAAATACAGTTTGTGTTTTTCTGATTTCCTATCTTTATTTCAATTTGAAATTTTTATTATGTTTTGAGTTTCAACAGAATTTCATAGCATAAAGCATTTAAAAATCTGTGAGCCAATGCTCACTAGTAATACCCCTGCTCTGATGTGAATATACACAATAATGCTCACAAACACAAGTTCAGTTATGGTAGATGCACTGATAAATTGGAAGCTGACATAAGATTCATACAAACATATATCCCATCATATGGCATGCCTCAACAAAGTATATGCTAAAATTTCAAACATCTGCAATGAGTAGCTGCAACATGAAAATAAAATCCTCTCCTTGTCCTGCTTAAATTAACATACCCCTCTATCTGTTATTTCTGCTCTCTCTACTTTCCAGGATAAGTTTTCAACTTCAGCCTCTAACTGTGCCTGTTGGTACTCAAACTGAAAATTGAGCATAGCCTCACATAAAAATACATTCAAAATTCTGGAATAGAAAATACAAGCAGTTAATGGTCCTAAAACTACAGTGAACCTTCAGATATCTGGACGCCAGATATCCGGATGCTTCAGAATTCGGACGATTTTTCATCAGAATAGAATTTAATTATGTTTTTTTGTCTTGTTTAACTGGTAATTCAGATATCCGGAAGCTTCACATATCTGGACAAATTGACTAGGAACCAAAGCGTCCAGATAAATGAGACTCCACTGTATTCACAATATAATTTACATCAGGAGTTTTTGTATGTATGTATTGAGGATATGAGATGTTCAGTCTTTTAATTCATACATACCAACTGTTTCCTGGCCCCTTTTTCCATGTAGTAGGCATATGGATATGTATACTGAAGAGTGTACCGGCACTGAAAAAATAAAGGAAAAGTATGTGATTGCTTAGGTCACAGAATCTTGAAAATCGATATAAAATGGTCCCAAATCTTGGCTGGTTTGCTGCTTGTTATTTTTCTCAAACAACAGCACTGTTGCATCTTTTTGAGCAGTGTGGCAACCTTCCTTTTTGAGCAGTGTTGCAGCTCATCTTTATTGAGCAGTGTGGTGACTTACCTTGTAAATCAGTGTGGTAGCTTTCCATTTTGAGCTGTGTGGTAGCTTTCCGTTTTGAGCAGTGTGGTGGCTTATTTTTTGAGCAGTATAGCAGCTTATCTTTTTGAGCAGTGTGGTGGCTTATCTTTTTGAGCAATGTGATGACTTACATTTTTAAGCAGTGTGTTGGCTTACCCTTTTGTGCAGTGTGGTGGCTTACATTTTTGAGCAGTGTGGTGGCTTACCATTTTGAGCAGTGTTATGGCATACCTTTTTGAGCAACGTGATGACTTAAATTTTTGAGCAGTGTGTTGGCTTACCTTTTTGAGCAGTGTGGTGGCTTACCTTTTTGAGCAGTGTGGTGGCTTACCTTTTTGAGCAGTGTGGCGGCATCCAGTAAATACTGCCAGTCTATCCAGGTGCCTGTGTTCTTCATGACCTTGTCTTGGATCTTTGAGGTGATTCTTTGTAGAGTTTGTTCCTCCAGCTGGAGACTTTTAGCATGGTTCTCATACTACAACATAATTTATGTGAAAAATTAAGATCACTGATTCTTAAATACAGGAATTGTCATCTAGCTACATATTTAAGCTACTTGTTCACAATTTTTGAAAGATGTTTTTCACTTGCCTGGAATCTATATTTCAAGTTGTGCATATTTTTATGACATTACATTGTACATACATTTTTAGTTTGATCTCTGCAACAAGAATCTTTTCCAAACAACTTCTGTAGCAAATGGGGTATAGCATTTTCATACATATAGTGTTATTTGAAATAGCTGCCCCTTTTCTTCTTTATCTCTCTCCTTGCCTTGTATACACAGTATTATTTTTTTTGCTATAAATTAAGACTTTCTTCTTTATTTATAGCGATATACAGTTTCTACATACCCTTTCAAAGTAGAAGAGATATTTTTTGAGGGCTTCCCGTGCCTGGGCATGGACTGACTCGTTAGCAATGTTAGGGTTCTCCTTGTAGCGGCTACACTCATAGTACTCACTGCCGTGGGCCTTCCAATCACCCAGGCACATCCAACAGAAGTCAAACTTGCATTTTGTACATTGCTAAAACAAAAAGTTCAGGAAAAACTAGTGTTATTGAATTCCACAAAAAAAAAAAAAATGCTGTCAAATTAAATATGCACAAGTGTTTTATATTAAATTTTATTTTAATCTCTGTTTCAGCCATTATTTGAAAAGTGGAATTGCAGATTTTCAACTTTTCATGAAATGCACTTACCATGTGATTACAACCTCCATTTTTTTCTATACAGACGTGACACTTGGGGCACTGAAAAAAAGAAAAGAAATGACAGTCAAACTTCCTAACTCATTTTCAGACATACAACCAATTCAGGTATCAAATCAACACATTTAAACTCCAATTTAGATTCAAAGTGAAGCAGTGTTTATTAACGTACATCTTTGGTGTGAGCACTGATGTAATTGGCGGTCTCGGAATCGTCAGCACACTTAGTCAACCACTTTTTGATTGTTCCACAATCAGTGGGAGCGTGGTAGTCTATACCACAACGAAAACTGGAAAAACAAATTAAAAAAAAAAATAAATACTCAAAAGCCCCTACATTATTTATAGGTTTTTATGTTTTTTAATAATCTTACATATATGTTCCTCGTGTAAATTTGCATATTGCAAAATGTTTTGATTTTCCAAAGAAATTCATAACACAATTTGAATGAAATGATGACATCATGTGCCTTTGTATTTATTTAACAGTAACCTGTCTCTATTTGAGTAAACTTAATACTTTGAATTCTATTCAATTTACTCAACTCCATATAAGTGAGATCATTCAGCTTGAATATGACAGGAAAATATTTTCATTAATTTTTCTCATTTTCAGATAATCATATATGTGAATTTTTTTCCCCTTAATGGACATAAATAATTAAAGATCTCCAGCAATTTTATGTTAACTTATTCTCTTTTATTGATTTTGAAGAGAAGTGAAGTCCATAATATTAACAACCTGTTTAACTCATCTCTTACCAAAATGTGGTTTTGCAGTGACTGCATTCCACTTTCTTTGACTTCAGTTCCTTAGATCTAACCACCACAGAACAATTTGGACCAGGGCAAAATCTTAACTCTGGGTGGGCCTGGAAATGCAGAAATTTTTTTATAACTTTACCATGTTTTCACAAACAAAATAAATAAAAACAGTGTTACAAATAGTTATTAACTCACTTCATCCTAAAATGTCAATTATAAAGTATGAATTTTTCAAACAAAAACCTCAACATGGTCCGTGAAGGACAACTGTGTATATTTGTCTCGTAGCTCAGGTTTGGATAAAGCATTGCAAAGGAAGTCTTCTGGAACTAGAATATGGCAGTCCTTCTGCATGCATTCAATGCCTAGGAACAAAAAGAATACACTGTATAAGTCTCGGACAGATTTCTCCGACAAAGATAATTTTCAGAGAGCTAAAACATACATTAAGACATTTCAGTTCAATCCTTGTGTTTTCAACTTCAGAAAAGATAAATGTAAATGTTATCACTTGCAAATCAAATATTGAAATGATTTATAAAGAAAAAAGGATAATTTCTGCATGACTTCAAGTTACTTTAAGAAAAGGAAGAAAAAAAAATTCTAAGAAATTCGATAGAAAATGTAAAGTATACTTTCATATTTTAACTCTTTACAACTTACTGAATTGTTATGCAACATACACTTAATGTTCAAGTCATAGAAATATGACGTTACCATTTCCCCGCAAGCACTTTATACATGTAGCATGGTACAAGTTTCTCTAAAGTTTAGCGTAAAAAATATTATGACGTATATTTTTATAAGAAAATACCTTTTCTTAATTTATGAGATTTATGCAAGTTAAAAATATATGGAATTGGGTGATAAATTGAAGATTAAAAGAACTTTTTAAAAGTGCATGAAAATGTGCGATTGCGGGGAAGCGATATAGCGTGATTTTGCGTTTGAAAAATGAAATGGTATATGCATTAAAATGTGTGACTACGGGAAGGGGGTTAAAAGGAATTTCCCTATATTACACTAACAGTCAGGTGCAAATCAATTCCCCTAATGCATTCTAATAAAGAAAACTTTTATTCCAAAAAACAGCTTTTTATTCAACAAATGTGTCTAAATCATGACTGTGGAACAGGGTAAAGAGTATGCTTGATCTGAACTTGTAAATTCACCTGTGGTGATTCCCTGTTTGATTTGTATCTGGAAGTACAAATCCCAGCAGTTTTTACAGAAGATGTGTCCACATGTCAGACAGCTGAATGTTTTAGATGGAGCCTGTTCAAAACAGACACTACATTCCTTCTGACCCCCCACAGCTTCATCCTGAAAATTATAATGTTCATATGTGAGTCATTCTTGAAATTGTCAACATATAGTTAGACTAAAATTGCTTTTTACTTAACATACTGATGCTTTTAAGGAGTCATGTAATCTGGTCAAGATATAAAATGTTTTTGATTCCAATCTAGCTTGAAACACAAAATTTGATTGGTTAGGAAGTCGGGTGTTAATTTCCATACACCTAACTTAAGCCGGAGGTAAAGAACATGACGCCACAATGCAGAGTTTCTCTTTGATAAAAAAAACTGGAGGATTTTATACATCCTCAGGAGAGAACTTATAGTAATACAGGTATAAGCAACTTGTAATGTCCAATCAAATTACGGAATTTGATTTTATCTAATAAAATATTGATCAAATTAACCTGAAAAACTAATAATGTTCCACAAATTCCTAACCTTCTTGAATATAACTTCTATTTTTATTATCATGATTATACCAGTATATTTTCCACATTACAATACTTAAATTTATTGATTTTTTTTCTATTCACAAGATATATGATTAATAATAATATTTATATATTATATTGTATTGTGTAATTTGCAAAGACTTTACCTGGTGTTTAATAGCAGGCATGATCTTGGAGTCTACCAACAACTTTGAAGGACTTTTCTTGTGTCTGTAATTTACAATTATCATTACCAATAATAGACAAAAGAAAAATAATTCCTACATGAATTTGAAGAACTGATAATATTCCATCTTTTGAATTTCCTTGAAAAGAATAATGTTGTAGGCAAGCTTTTTTACTTCTAATCTGATTATAAATTTACAAGTAAACTCATACAGTCTTCGAGTTTATAAAGTGCCACTAATTTCTTCAAACACAACCAAGAGCAACACTTTATATTTCAATATGTATTTTGATGTAAATGTATTGAAGTGCAATTTCACAAAACTGACTTCATTCAGCATGTTCAGAGTATGATTCAATCAAGCTTGCAAGTTTTCACTTTGCTGAGCACATTAAGTCTGTATTAAATCAAACGTAGATGACAATTGACCAACAAATTATTTGCAAATTCTTTCCTAGTAGAAACTTACTGTTCAATAATGGAATCTTTCTGCCAACCATGAACTTGTAGCAGCATTTTGGCAAGGTATGGATCAATCTGAAAAGAATCAAGAAAGAAAATCAAAATACCACTAAAACTTATAAATCAAGACATATATAATTACTACTGATGTCAAATCGGTCAATTTTTGATACTCGGTTACTCGGACGTTTTTCCGATCGAGTACCCGGGTACTCGGTAAAAGTGTAAATAAATATGATCAAGTTAATTGATAACTGTAAAACATTGTAAACTCTTGTAGAAATAAAACCGATGGGAGGTTACCTGTAAATGCGTTGTAACAATTATGACCACTTTGTAACCGACGAAATTTAATCTAACATTTTTTTAAGTTCAATTTATTTATCAGATAAATACGAGAAATAAAATCAGAAATGGTTCACAGTGTTTTTGTTTAAAAAATAAATAAATCTGTTCCGTAATTGTAATGTAACTCTTTAGTGCGTTTGATGTCCAAGTGATAAGTTGTCTGAGCTATATGTACGGTATAAACTTGATCAAGTTATCCTATAACAGAGCGGATATATACGATCTTCGTACACTTTTTGATCCTAGATTTCATAGAATTACAATACGGTATGTTGTAGTTTGGAGCAACGATGGACATAAGATTTTTAAAGCATTTGCCTTCAACCATTTGCATTAATTGGCATGTAATCAAATGCATCCAAATCAACAATCGCACGTGCAATATCGTCTGTCTTTTTCCCGAGAATTTACGGCTTCTTGGAGAATTGACAAAATTATTTAATTTGTTTAAATATAATGGACCTTAAACGATGTTCAATGAAAACAAATAATTAAAGCAAACTAAATATAAGGGAAGACGACAGTCGAAGGTGAGAAAAGCCCGGGTAGGTACATCAGGTGTTTGGTCACGGTAATTACTGTATAAACACTGCCACAAGCGATAACGGTCATTTAGAGGCATAGAAAACCCTAATTACTGTATATACAAGTGCAATGAACATTTTACGTTTTAAAACCGATGTTTTAATGCATTAATAAGTAAGCTTAGAAATATTTTAAAATATACATCCGAGTAACCGAGTACCGATTTTAGTATTCGATACTCGGTCGTCCGATCGAGTACCCGGTTAACCGGGTACTCGTTGACATCCCTAATAATTACAAATGCTTTTATAGCAAATAGTGCATACATTTGTGGCAAGAAGACAGAAATTCATGTACTAGTATTTTCTTCTTCCTGCTATTTAGTGAGTGCAAAGCAATCGGCAATCCTCGGCTGACTCCGCTATGCTCCATTCAAACCTCGGATGTGATTAGTGGAGGAATACGCATCAGATCCATACATTTCTCCGCCGGAAACTGCCTTATCACTCATTTCATATTTTCGCTCTGCATAACGTTCTTCGAAAATGTTTCTTAATTTGAGCAATTCTTTATCGTAAACAGGTTTTGATTACAACCTCATGTTAGTAGACTTCAGAAGCAAGAAAAATCTGTTGAGTGTGCCACAAAATAACTTCGATTTCAAATGTATGACATTTGAAAAAAATTTGAATAAGATCACATGACTGAATCAGCAAGATGGTTAGATCACCGTTGACGTCCGAGGTTATGTGCGAGGTACGAGTCATCCAAGGAAATCCGAGTGAGTGCTAAGAGTTACTTATACCCTAACTTTCAATTTCCATCAAACAGTGTAAATACAGAGACAATTGTATAAATACTTTATTTGAAAATAAACAAAACAAATTACAATTCACTAATTTACCTTAAGTGCTCTACAGAGTACCTCCACCTCCTCATTAAGTAAACGCTCGACATCTTCCACTTGCAGAAGTTCATATTCAAAGTACTCCGGGTCCTCGCTTTTCTTTGGTTTATCTATGTCAAGGTCATCAGTGTCGTTGTCATAGTAACCTCCGTAATCATAATCATCGTCATCCATATGATCGGAGTGATCATAATCTGAGTCGTCTGACATAGACATCTGCCAAGAAAAAAAATTTTCAGTGTTGGAAAATATATAGTACACATATTTTCAAATGAAAATAAAAATCTAATTTCATCATTGGCTTTTCCTTGTTTGGAATTAATTTGTCAACAGTATATTCTAAGTTTTGGCAATTTTCTGGTCATTAAAGTGAACTAATAACTTGTCGTTTTTTCCAAACCAACAGTTTTTTCCAACAACACATATAGAATGTTTAGCAGTCAGAGTATCATATCTATTTAAGAAATTCTCATTAGAGAAGTGGACAGGCTTTCCCCTACATCCCTTCTCTTTGCAAGCAGTCATGTTAGTTGAACTGTAGGCCGTCATCAATTCTACATTTATACATTATCCAAAATAACAAAATGACTGCTTGGGCAGAGAAGTGGATGTAGGTAAACGCCCCTCTAAATAGAATACTATTTAACGAGGCCGAGTCTAATTATTTCTGCCCTAGGGATTTTGACAATTTTTTGATAATTAATTTTTACTGTTATATTTATTGTTTCAGGATTAAAAAATCGAATGTTTACCACCCCGATTTCTTAGTGGGCCATCTTAAATGTTGTCAAACTTTATTATTGGACCCTATGGGAATTTGTTGGAAAATCGCCAAATTATTACATTTTTTCCATATTTTTTGTACTTCTGCCCTAGGGATTTCCTTTTCATTCAAGTAATTGAAAGTAAATGTAAAAAGTCACCAAATTGTGAAATTTCAAAAAAGTTCACCATCTCGTTTGGTCTAGGTAGTAATTACTAAGTTTATTTTTTCGAAGCCAAATACCTCTAAAATTGCCATATTACAGTATAAATACATATTTTGCTGATGAATTATCAGTGCATACAATTTTTTTCGGCATAAATAGCAATTTTTAATCTTCTAGTATGTCTCTTAGGAAGTTATGTCATCAGTTTTTAGTATAATATCAATGGACGTCTTGAACATACAAGCGAGTCCTGCGTCATTCTTCAGCGTCATGCATTGCTTACAAAATCTGAAAATGGTGACGTTGTCAGAGCCATTTCAACGTTCTTTTTTCAATAATTGTCGTAAAATCACATTTCAGATCAGTAGGAGTTACAAATAATGTTAATTTTGTATTAAAATTAAAATAATTTTCAAAGGTGTACTGTCACAGAAATGACTGCATGAAATTAAAAAGCTGCGCAAAGTGATGCGCACTCGAATTAGACTCGGCCTCGTTAACACTTCCCACAAAAATCAGGGAAGTTGCGTCCAAAAAAATCTTTCATATTCAACTACTTATCTGTGTAGTATAATTAGATTATATACAGATTTTTGATATCAAAAAAATCATACCAACATAAAATTGAAAAATGATTCGACCCAATTCTTCGTATTACATTATTGTATAGAATGAATCCCAACAACTTGTGAGGCTGTTTGTAAAGAGTTCATACTTAGGCTAATATGATGGCAGCAGACAGGCAGAAGACAAACAAGTTCTAATTTTGCGAGTGGCACAATTATTTAACAAGTTTTTGCAGTAGTAAGTATAAATATGTTACATCACTACCTAAAACATTTTTATAAAGAATTCATAATTGATTTTACGCGAGAAAAATCCAGCTGATCAGGACAATGGTTTCCAATATTAGATGACGCAAATCAACACTATATTTTTCATCAGAGTATTGAAGTCTGCTCTAATGCAATGAATTTATTAATTTATCACTTAAATTACCAAAGGAACCCCCTTTTGTTCTCAAAATATCTGAGTAAATACATGAAAAAGGTATACAAACCTTCGTTACTTTTCAACACAATAGAATGTTTAGTACGGAAATGACGTCAAGTTGACACTAGCTTTAATAGCTTGTACCTCAACTGTTTCGATATAGAGAACTGTTGCTCAAATAGAAAACGATGTCACAGAAAACTGTACGATAATTGTGCAGAAAGTGCAGAAAAAATATGAAATTCAAAATGATAATTATGAAAAAAATTTGAATAACAAAATCATCTCAATTACCCCCCCCCCCCGGAACAGAATGTGCAGTAGAAAACGCTCAAAAATATACCAGGCTGCAGCTAGCAGCCAATAACGGCAGCCACTAAGCCCGTAGAAGCTAGCAGCCAATAAGGAAATTCATCAAAGAACTGAGAGTACTGAGAGACAGCACTGTTTTTAATACTTTATTTTAGATAATTAAGGGTTAATGAATGGATAATTAAAGCGAAAATTAATTATGTAATAAATCAGACACTCGGAGGCAGTAAGGCTCACCTGAAAAAATGTTCTTTTTTTGAAACTAAAAAAAAATAGAAATAAATTACTCAATCATCTTAGTCCACTTCATCAAACAAGCACTAAGACAGTCATGTTTAACTACTTCAAGAAGAATGCCTTTTCAACTCTTTCAGCGACCTCAAGAATATGACAGGGCCAATAAGCTAACCTGAAATTGGTTACTCTATCGATTGTAAACTGAAAAATTACAGTGTAAACTACGTTGAAGTATGTCTCGAACATTATAATCCGGGCAACTTTAAGGGTCTTTAAGACTATTGATAACCGTTATCAGTAATAAGTGGTGGTGGTGCCACCAAGTGGTTCCAAGAGCATTTTTAATATAAGAGGCAGGTATTACACCCATGATTTATAAAGTGCCCACCATATCGTAACTAAGGCAAGGTAGAAGGACCCCAGGACTTCTGTTTCCTGCTATAAGAACGGGTTTGTAGTGGTACCACCAGGTTGTGCCAAGTGCGTAGAGTATATTTCAAGCAATCAATTGTCATCAATTATTGGCCACTTGAACAAACTATCACTGGGGATGGATTAAGGGCCTTAGGAAGTATCCCTTGTCAACCTTTCAAAGGGTCCCAGGGACCACAAAGGGCTAGTAGGCAAACCTGGACGTTGGCTTTTACATTATATCCCGAAAAAAACCTATTAGAGAACAGCTATTCTTTGAAGACATAGTGTCAACCAATGATTATTGGGGCAAGGTAAAGGGCTTTTACAGATATCATTTCCCACTTTCAATATGGGGCTGTAGTGGTACCACCAAGTGGTGCCAAGTGGCTGGGGCATATTTAAAGCATTCATTTGCCATGTATTATTGTGCACCTGGACAAACTATCACTGGAATGGGTTCAGGATCTTAGGGGGGATATCCTTTGACAGAGTTCTGTAGAGTCCCAGGGTCTGGAAAGGGCCAGCAAGATTACCTGAACTTTGCTGTTTTTTTTCATAATTGCATATTGAAAACAGAAAAAAGTCATATATTATACCCCTTATCTTTCAAGTGTTCACCAAATGATTATTGGGGCAAGGTAGAGGGGTCCTAGGGCTATCATTTCCCACCTTCAAAATGGGGCTGTAGTGGCACCACCAAGTGGTGCCAAGTGGCTGGGGCATATTTCAAGCATTCATTTGTCCTCCATATCTGGGAACCTGAACCATCTTTCACTGGGGATGGGTTAAGGGTCTTAGGGGGTATCCCCTGACAAAGTTTCAAAAAGTCCCAGGGGCTGGGTAGGGTCGGTTAGCTAACCTGAACTTTGATGTTTTTTCATCATTGCATATTGTGAAACGGGAAATGGTCAGCTATTATACGCCTTATCTTTGAAGTGTTCACCAAATGATTATTTGGGCAAGGTAGAGGGGTCCTAGGGCTATCATTTCCAACCTTCAAAATGGGGCTGTAGTGGCACCACTTGGTGGTGCCAAGTGCGTGGGGCATATTTCAAGCTCATTTGTCTTCCATTTCTGGGAACCTGAACCATCATTCACTGGGGATGGGTTAAGGGTCTTAGGGTGTATATCCTGTCAAAGTTTCAAAGGGTCCCAGGGGCTGGGAAAGGCCGGTCAGCTAACCTGAACTTTGATGTTTTTTCATCATTGCATATTGTGAAACGGGAAAAGGTCAGCTATTATACGCCTTATCTTTGAAGTGTTCACCAAATGATTATTGGGGCAAGGTAGAGGGGTCCGAGGGCTATCATTTCCAACCTTCAAAATGGCGCTGTAGTGGCACCACCAAGTGGTGCCAAGTGGCTGGGGCATATTTCAAGCATTCATTTGTCCTCCATTTCTGGGAACCTGAACCATCTTTCCCTGGGGATGGGTTAAGGGTCTTACGGAGTATATCCTCAAAGTTTCAAAGGGTCCCAGGGGTTGGGAAAGGCCGGTCAGCTAACCTGAACTTTGATGTTTATTCATCATTGCATATTGTGAAACGGGAAATGGTCAGCTATTATACGCCTTATCTTTGAAGTGTTCACCAAATGATTATTGGGGCAAGGTAGAGGGGTCCTAGGGCTATCATTTCCAACTTTCAAGATGGGGCTGTAGTGGCACCACCAAGTGGTGCCAAGTGCGTGGGGCATATTTCAAGCATTCATTTGTCCTCCATTTCTGGGAACCTGAACCATCTTTCACTGCAGATGGGTTAAGGGTCTTAGGGGGTATCCCCTGACAAAGTTTCAAAAAGTCCCAGGGGCTGGGTAGGGTCGGTTAGCTAACCTGAACTTTGATGTTTTTTCATCATTGCATATTGTGAAACGGGAAAAGGGCAGTTATTATACGCCCTTTCCTTGAAATGTTCATTAAATGATTACTGGGACAAGGTAGAGGAACCCTAGGGCTATCATTTCCCACTTTCAAAATGGGGCTGTAGTGGCACCACCAAGTGGTGCCAAGTGCGTGGGGCATATCTCAAGCATTCATTTGTCCTGCATTATTGGGCACATGAACCAACTATCACCGGGTATGGGTTAAGGGTCCTAGGGGGTACCCCCTGTCAATGTTTCCATATGTCCCAGGGGCTGGGAAGGGCCTGTTAGCTAACCTGAACTTTGAGGTTTTTCATAATTGTACATGTATATTGTGAAACGGAAAAAGGTCAGCTATTATACGCTTTATCTTTGAAGTTTTTACCAAATGATTACTGGGGCGATGTAGAGGGGTCCTAGGGCTATCATTTTCCACTTTCAAAATGGGACTGTAGTGATACCCCTAAGTGGTGCCAAGTGTGTGGGTATATTTCAATCATTCATTTGTGCTGCTTTATTGGGCACCTAAACCAACTATCACCGAGGATGGGTTAAGGGTCTTAGGGGGTATCCCCTGTCAACGTTTAAAAACGTCCCAGGGGCTGGGATTGGCCGGTTAGTTAACCTGAACTTTGAGGTTTTTCATCATTGTATATTGTGAAACGGGACAAGGTTAAGCTATTATAGGCTTATTCTTAACTTATGTCACCTATAACTTCAACATTATCTGTCAAACTGAACGCGACATTTGTCACAAATTTTTAAACAAAGTATAGACACGGCAGTTCTATTGTATCCTAGGCTTTCAATTATTAACTCGACCGTTCAAAGTTGAAACCAATCGAAATAATTTGTTTTTACAAAAAATCTGCAATTTTATTGTACAACAATCTTGTTTCTCAAAACTATTTAGTACGGATTACTGTCTTGTTTAACCAGGAAGTTTGAACTCGAGACGTAGTGTCTAGAATGTATGCCTTTCAAGCAAAGAGTTCGATACCGGCTGGGTGCATTTTAAACTTTTTTTAATTATGCTCCCGGAAATGAAGTTATGGGGGTGTATAGGGGTGTCCTTCTGTCTGTCTCTCTGTTTGTCCGTCCGCAAAAACTTTATCCTTGTTCATAACTTTTGATTAAGTAGAGCTATGATATTCATATTCCACATGTGTATTTCTAGAGAAAAGACCTTTTTTTGGGTACCACCAAATTTGACCTTTTGACCTTGATCTTGAGGTTTGACCCACTTTTACACAAAAATTTTGAATTTTTACTTTGTCCATATCTTTTGTACAGTATATACCAGGACATTTATACTTTACGTTTGTATTTTTTGTGGCAAGGCCTTTCATTGGATACCACAAACCTTGACTTTTTGACCTTGACCTAGGATATTTACGTACTTATGAAAAAACTTTAAGCTTGGCTATAACTTTTGAACAGAAAGAGCTAGAGCTTTCATACTTCACATATGTAATTCTTGTGAGAAAACGCTTCACTGGATTCCAAGAACCTTGATCCCTTGACCTTGGAGTTTGACCTACTTTAAAAATACAACTTTGACCATAATTTTTGAAGGATTAGTACTAGGGCTTTCATACTTTACATATTTAATTCTTGTGAAAAGACCTCTCATTTGATACCAAAAACCTTGACATTTTGACCTTGACCAACTTTTACACAAAAATTGCAATTTTTTACTTTTGGCCATAAGTTTAAAACGGTAGATACTAGGAATTTCATTTTTCAAATATAACTTTTTTTTGGTAAGACCTTTCATTTAAAACCAAGAATTTTGACCTTGACCTTTGAGATTTCCGGACTTATGAAAAAACGTCAACCTTGGAAATAACTTTCCAAGAGGAAGGGCTAGGGTTTTCCTACTTTACATATGTAATTCTTGTTACAAGACCTTTCATTCAATACCAATAACCTTGACCCTCTGACCTTGATCTTGGAGTTTAACGTACATAAAAATCTTTTTAACCTTGGCCATAACTTTTGAATGGTTAGGGCTAGGGCTTCCATACTTCAAATATGTTATCTTCGTGGAAAGACCTTTCATTGGATACCAATAAACTTGACCTTCTGGCCTTGATCTTGAAGATTTTTGTACTTATGAAAAAAATTAAGCCTGGCCATAACTTGCGAACAAATGGTGATAGGACTTTCAAGTTTTGCAATTGTATTTCCAGTTAGAAGACACTACTTTAGGTACCAATATATTAACTTTGCGTCTCAGAAAAGTTTAATCTTCACTATGTTGCCATACGGGGGCATCAGTGTTTCACAATCACATCTCTCTTTT